CCGGGAGAAAGCTGGCAGTGGCTGGGAGAGGCAGAATGGGAAAGAGAGAGAGAGCAGAATGGAGTGATAGGAGCGGCACCTGTAGAAAGAGAGGGGAAGGCAGCAAGAGATGGGGGTGTGGGAGGAGAGGAAGGGGAAGGACAGAGATGGGGGTGAAATTGTGAACGGCAGGAGCCGAGTGAAGGCCACACGGAGACTGTAATTTCCAGTGATGTCAAACTCACATTCCAGTGACAGGTTGGAATACCCTGCTGTGCTCAGGGATACAACAACAGTGTCCATACTGCTGGCCTGAACAGACATTGACCTTCCAGTGGTCTGCCCACATCCCGAACTGCTAGTGCACACTGCCCCCTTCTTTCACTATAGAAGAAGTGCCTGAGTCTCTGCTTAGTTCAGGTACATCAAGCTTCCTCTTCCTGTAGTGTGCATTTCAATGCACTTGTGCATATGACAAATACACTGAACCGAACTCTTCAGGTTTTTGCTCAAAACTCAGTAGTCAATTAAAAACGATAGCCTAAATATTGTCCTCAGTTTAAAAGGAAGTCATATTTCCTTTAATATTTCTGGTGCTGGGGCCCTGGGTTCATTTCCTGGGGTGCTCTCTGCATGGAGTTTGAGTGCTCTCCCCATGTTCATGTGGGTTTCCTGTGGGAGTTCCAGTTTCCTTCCGCAGTGCAAAGGCATACTGGTGTGAGTGTGTGTGCGTGCCCTGCGATGGACTGGCATCCCGTCCAAGGTGTATCCTGCCCTTCGCCCGTTGCTTGCCATAGACTCCGGCTCCCCTGCAACTATGTATCGTATAAAGCATTTTGAAAATGGATGGATGTATTTCCTTATTTAAACATATATATATTTCTTAAGGTCTTTTGTTCATTTATTCTAAACATTTGGCTCATCACAAGTACTGTGATCTATAACACACCCTGAAGCTCAGCTAGGGGTGCTACAATTTGTCAGATCAGTAATTACACCAACTGTGTAATCAAGAGCACCGGGGGATCAAACCGCGGAAAACACCAGGCCCTCCTGGAGCCAAGTTTGAGAGCCCTGGGTTACAGCTCACCTTCTGGCCCTGGAGGAGAGCAGGCATGTTCAAACACATCAGGGAGGCTCAAAGTTCCCATCAAATGAATAAAAATCCACCGTTACCTTCTCCTGACCATTCCCTCCCTCCCCCACTGCTCTTGTATCTTCATAACGCGGAGGTATGAGTGAGCCCTGGCTCTCTTGACAGCCTCTAAAGAGAGCCAATTAGCAGAAGTGCTGATGATGCGTGTTGGCCGTCCTGTCACTGACCCCTGGAGGCCGACACTCATTCCCCCATCCATCCGCCCCTCCTTCTCTCTCGCGGCGGCCGGACAGCTGCCAGCCAGGTCTGCCTCTCAATAATGCACCTTCTGCATAATCGGGCACTGTCGTTTCTCTAATGATGGGGAATCAATGAGGGCCCATAACGAGCGCAGGCAATTACCGCAGAGGCTTTTTTTGCTCCTCTGCTTGATTGACTGACTGATTGATTAAATGTGTGTGATGACTTAGCCATGTTCCCAGTTAACCAGGGCGTGAGAGAACTGGTGAGCTGAAGCCAAAGTCCCCCCAAATCTCCCTCTGCAGCAGCACAGCCCCTGACAGCCCCGCAGACGCCCTCCACCCCATTAACCATTAAGAGAATCCATGGGGATCTATGTGAATTAACAGGCTCTCAGCTCAACCTAGCGAGAAATCAGGCTGGCAAAGTTCTCCGCTGTCACACTCAAGCCTGTTCAAACCCACGTTTTTAATCCAGCAAAACGCGACAGGCTGGGAACTTCCAGCCCGGGCCTGCAGGCCACAGCGGGCTGGATTCTCCGGGCCGTCAGCTCGCTGATGACAACCCGGCGCTGAACCGTCACGAGCACGTGTCCCCTATCGAGCGCAGAGCCTGTCACCTCACACTTAAGTAGCCTGTGGGAATCACAGCAGGGAACCCCATGAACCATAAAATAAGAGGCAGCACAATCACAGAATCTCATTAGAGACTCGGAGTAGGACAAAAATCACTTCTGTGTGGCTTGTGGACTCTCTAGCTTTTCACTTATAGCGGTGGCAGCTGCCTTCAGTTTGGGGATCACTGCTTGGGCTGTACACATGTAGCGAGCTGGTGTGGTGACGTCAGCAGCCTCACTGCGCCTAGCAGGGTCCTCAGCTGCCTGGGCCGGGGGAGGTCTCCTTTAGCTCATGCGGCTGGATCCCTGTTGCGTTACGCCGGAGACCCGGGTTCGCGCCCCAGCTGTTGGGGCCGGAACGGGCGGCGGGGGGCACGACCCCGCGCGGAACCGTGACTGTCACACACACACACACACAAGCAGGACCAGTGAGTGGCCAGTATATATTGTTTGGTTCGTTCTCTTGCCGCATGAGTCTGCGTGATGATACACACGGTTCATCTGTGAGGTGGCTAGTACTGTGTTAGGTCATTTACATGGTCAGAGCAGGCTGCCACTATTTCATTACAGAGGCTTCATGGTGTAGTTTAATAGTCATTAATTATTCATGGTCATCTATAAAAAAACAGCTAAAATCCCGAAGAGTTTCCATTAATCCAACTGTCCTCCCCTTCATTCTTATACTGTATAGCTCTCTGCACCACTTTGTAACTCAGGGCCCTGAGTTAATGGGGGGTGAAGGTGGTGAATGGCAAAGCAATGCATTCCTAACAAGAAAGTACAACGCTTTGATTCCCTACCAGCCTCAGCTCACCCACTTGGCCACCTCCCTTAGCGAGGAAGACCCCCATCTCTAGTCCTGTCACAGTCCAGCAGATATCCCAGGCCCACCCCCGAGTCACCCGTTTGTAAAGAATTGGAAAGGCCGGATGTTTAGTAAGTCAATTTCTTTAACAATTTCTTTAACAAGGCCTAGAACGGCCAGCTGTGGTCCTCATGATACAGAAGTCCCTGCTACTTTCACTTCAGATGATCTAATGAATGAACTACTTCCTTGAAAAACATCGCCTGCTTTAGTGAGTAAAATGAATCTCCTGGCATAGGACTGGCCACCCCTGCTCAAGTAGGGGGGGCTGCGTTGGATCATTTTTGGATTTTCATTGCTCATCCTTGGGTTCTGTCCAGATGAAGGGTAGTAGCTTGTGAAGGTTAAGGTTAGTGTGTGGTAAGACAATGGCATGTGTGTGCACGTTAGTGATGCGCGGGTTGACTCACGCCCGGTTTAAAAATAATAATTAGATCGGGTTGGGCAGGTGCAGGTTCAGTTCTCACCACCGCTGGCGGGTGCGGGTAAAAAAAAAAAAGCAGTTGTTCGCTGTGATTTCTAACGGAGCGGGTTCGGACCGGGTTTGGGTCAGTACTTTTATCACTTTAAATCGGGCTGGGCGGGTGCAGGTTCGTTTCTCACAACCGCGGGCGGGTGTGGGTAAAAAAAAAGCTGACCCACACATCACTAGTGCACACGTTGAAGCAGTGCGGTTACTCAGGCCTCCAGCAGGTGTTGTTTGCTCCGATGTGTCTCGGGTTCGAAGCCGACCTGGGAATGGGTGGGAATGGATGTGTGAAACTGTTGAGCCCAGAGGAACACAGGAGCTGCTGTGTTGGAATTGCTGCTGCTCGTGAACTGGATTCGTGGTTAACTGTGGTAAAGCATGCATGGCGACACTAATCCAGTCAAACCGTGGAAGCAAGGTAAATGCTGGGCAAATGTCCGAGGACAATGAGACCTGAGCTCAAACCTGCCTTGCAGATTCACTGTGGAAAACTCCTCTGAGGCCAGAGCCTACTTGTGCCGGGTTTTGTAATTGCGCCCATGTGCTCTGCCTCTGCAGGTGTACTCACAGTCCTTCACAGCCTCCTATGCCATCTACAATGTGGGCACAGGGTAGGTGGACTAAGGGCTTGGCCTTGGCACTTGGCATGCAGAGCTGTCAGAGAGATGAAATGCTGGTTTTGTTTTAAGGGCTGAAGTCTCACACCTGCCTGTGACTGCTTGCAATGAACTTTTAGCCCATTTGGAGAATAAAATGGCATGTCAAAATGAGTGTCTTGTGTCACAAAGTACAGTAGTAATTTTTAAAGATCTAGAGCCCCCATACTGTTCAGGTAAGTGTCTGAATGAAGATTGTCTTCAGCTAATAGAACAGTAACAAGCTGCTAAAATGATTTGAGTGCAGTTCAAGGTGTTGCCCAGTGTGACCCCTGCATAACCTACCATTGCAGTCCTTTTTGCCACACAATTCCACCTGCGGTCTTTGACCTTTGAACCCATCTTCACACATGTCCCCTAAGGTTGGCAATACTGTTGGCATTAATGGACCCTCTCCTCTCATCCACCCTTCGTTCTGCTTTTCCTGTTTTGCATGGTTTCCCTTTTAATCATTGTTTTAATGCTGTTCACTAACCATTCCTGGACAGATTGCTTTGAAAACTAATTGTAATCTGCATCTGCATCTGGGGGGAAGCATTTAATTGCTGCACAAGCAGAGCTGGCACGCCAGCGATCCACCTCCCTGTGCCATTTCCTTGGGAGATTTCTAGGGAGAATTTACCTGTATGGGAGCTGTTTGCTGACAGAAGCATCAGTGGGCATGGCACATGACATTCCACATGGAGACCGCAAAAGAGGAAAAGGAGGAAAAGCATGTGTAACGGGCCAAACCGAAAAGCAGATAACTTGTGTCCTGTTCACATGTCAGCTGCAACATGGCAGGGCTGTGATGAAACAGAGTTATTTGCATGTTCATTTCTTTCAATATGCACCCTGGATATAATGATCTTGGAGCCTGATAGCAATTAGCCCAGAGATTGGAACACTGCTTATAGTGTTTTCTGGCTTTTGGTCAACATGGGTCCTGCCTGCTGGATTTGGCGTGATTATCTGATGAACCAGAAGAGACTGGCCTCCCAAGTGTTTAAGACCCCACTGTATCACTAACCATTTCATTTAAATAATTAAGTCCATTAGAGCGACTGATTGAGTGACTGATTGGCTGAGGGTAGAAGGTGTAAATACAAGCCTGAGGCCAGTGTGGTCCTGCTTTGATGTCCTAGAATAGGGGTGTCAGACTCCTGGAGGGATCAGTGTCTTCCTGGTTTTTTTCCACCTGAGCCCTCAGTGACATAGTGGGTCTAACTATTTTAATTGACTGCATCACTGTACTATTTCTGCCCTGACTCCGAAGAGTTTTGAAAGCAACCACACTTTTAATGAAGTGAATAAGTTGTCAAAAGGAAAAAAATACTTCCTGAGAAACATCCTGTACATGTCTAAGTAATAAAACGATGAGGCTAATTGCTTAATTGACAACTCGGGTTGTATCAAAAACCAGAAGAGCGACGGCTCTCCAGGAGTTGGACTTGCCATCCCTGTCCTAGGGCTACAACTGTAAAGGAACCGTGGAGTGAATGTCACCTGCGTTCCCTCAGAGACCTGTAACAAGCGCCTCTCCCTCATGCCCATGAATGCCATCTGTCTTTTTGTTGCAGGGAGATCTCTGAGCTCAACCCCCCAGAGGTGAAGCCCTCTGTTCTGCAGTTTGCTGCCTGGGGACCCCAGGGGAACCAGCTGGTGAGTGAATGAGTGAGTCTGCCCTCACAGGTCTGTCTGTCCCACTGCTTTCCTCTCTCAGTCACTGCATTGCCTCTGCATGTAGCTTCCTCAGTGCCTCTGTTGCTCTTTATCTCTGTTACCGCCCTCTCAATCAAAGGATGTTTAACTTAACCCCATAAAGGTGACAAATGACAGAGCCCTGATTGGGTGTTAATAGACAATTAATAGCTTGATCTATTCCTGACACGTCTTAAAGTATTCTCTGATGTCAGCTTCACCTTTGTTGTTTCTCAGCTTGTTCCAGACCCCCACAACACTTAGTGTAAGGAAGTGTATAAGCTCTTGATTCCCAGGCCTCTCGTTGGTTACCAGGTGTATGTCTTTGAGAACAACATCTACTATCAGCTGGATGTATCCAGTAGCGCCCTGCGGCTCACTTCCACTGGCAGGGAGGGGCTGGTCGTCAATGGAGTGTCTGACTGGCTCTACGAGGGTGAGGATATCTCTTATTGTGATTGTGTATTGTGGGGGTATTGGATTTTATTTACAGTGCTGCCACCTCTTGTCATTTATTCATTATTGGAGTCATTGGCTTTAATTGTATCCTGTTCCAGCAGCCAAATCGATTATCAGCGAGACTGATTTCATTTTCCTTGGAGGATAAACAGTGTGTCGGCTACCTGGTTCATTGCTCTATCAGCTTCCCAGTGTAATTTAAATGGCTCTCTTTTTAATATAAATGTGTAGATTATTCTCCCATTTGCCATTCTTGAAGTGTTTTCATTTGTCAAATTTAAAAGCAGATCTCTGTTCATGTAACAGGCACTGTACAGTAACTAAACTCTTGCAATAATGAGAGTAATTATTTATTCCTAAATAAACCTTTGAGCCTCTTTCATCATCATCAAAGCAGAACTCTGTGATTTAATTAAGAAACTTATACAGTATAGCTGAACACTTCTAGTTACTGCTTTGAAGATCTGTAAATGATGGAAAAAATCTTTAAAGCTCAGTATTTATCTGTGCATTCAATTTATTTCTTAAACTCTTTTCCATTATATTTACTCAGTAAAGAGAAAAGCTAGCCCAGTGGTCTCACTAGTTTCCTGTTCCTGCTTGCTCCTGATTGCTCGTCCACAGAGGAGGTTCTTCTGACATACCCCGCCCACTGGTGGTCAGGTGACGGGGCGCGGCTAGCCTACCTAACGATCAACAACTCTGCCACGCCCACAATGGAAATACCTCAGTTCCTAGGTGGAGTGTACCCAGCCAACATCTACTATCCTTACCCTAAGGTGAGAGCAGCTTAAGGAAGAGGCTTTTGGCTGCAGACAGCTGGTAGGTGAAATGTTAAATAACTGTAAACGAGGAAAGAATGCTCACAATTCCTGGGCACCTGAGTGGCAGATTTTGTAAAGCTTTCTCTTGGAGTGCACAAGAGCCAGGAGATCGATTTTCTTCCCCAGGCTTGACTGACTGTGTGTGCTTACTTTCAAGGGAGCAGTGCGGTGCGTGTGATGATGGGTGTGGGGAACTGGGCTGTGCATCATTGGCTAGATGCTTGCGAACGTGTTGTGTTGTCTGAAAGAAGGTGCATCAGTCATCTATCCAGATCTGTGTTACATTCACAACACTGGTCTCCTGTTCATTCCCCTAAGCCCATCTACATTGGGCCAAATTTCCTATTGGCCCTTACTAATCATGGCCTAATCTATGAATTGGCTTCATTTACTCTGCTCTCCTCCCCACCGATAGCTGGTGTGTGGGGAGCATTCTGGCACACTATGGCTGCCATCCCATCATCCAGGTGGAGCTGCACACTGGTGGTGGTGGAGGGGAGTCCCCATTACCTGTAAAGAGCTTTGAGTGGAGGGTCCAGAAATGTGCTATATAAGTGTAAGCAATTATTAACTATAAATATAACATTTTATGAGTGACAGGGCCTTTGCTTGCTATGCCCCAAAGCTCTGGAATCCTACCCCCAAAAATATCACCTTCCCTGAGCACTCTCCGATCCAGACTCAAAACCTTTTTCTTCATAGGGGCTTGTACCTAATCAGGTCTGTGTCTGCACCTTGCATCTTCTTCTTGGAACAAGCATTCCAAACCCTTGTTCTCAGTTGTGCTCATTTTGTTATCTCTTCTCCTTGTCTTAACTTTTTTCCCTCTTATAGTAAAATGCTTTGATAAGTTACTTTTAAAGGCACTATATAAAATGAAATAAAATGTATTATGTAATGGCAGTTAGGATAAAGAAAAACATACTTCCGTGGAATCGCAGAACTATAATTAATCTATTTAACAGAACATTTAAGTGTTCACACAGTGAATTAATCTCAGTGGTCAGCTGGCTGCATTAAGCTGCAAGTTGAGCTCCCTAAGAAGGGCCCTTGGCCGTTTGAACTCAACAGGCCCATAGGGACTTTTCCCTGTCTGGAATGCGCCTGCACGTGTGGAACTAGAAATACTTTCTTAGAACAATACATTATGCAGATGCACAACACTAGACATTTTTTATTGAACAGTGTAACAGTTTCCATAAACCTGGGTTGCTGCCTTGATTGGCATCATGTCTGAATACCAAGTGCTACAGCAAAGGTGATGTGTTCCGTTATCTACTGAAAGTGTCATAAAGCCTGGTGAATGTCAATATCTCTGGCTATTCAGCCACAGTGAAGGCTAAATAGCACATCATTAAAATACAGCAGCATAAATTGTATAAAGAGCAGGGGGCTTTAACACTGTTGTCCTAATCAATGAATCAATCACATGAACTTTATTTGTGCTTTTCATCTGAAAGTGTCACAAAGCACTTCACTTTTAGTAACGGCCTCCACCACGGACGCAGATCAAAGTAACGTCATGTGTGCTGTTGTTGAGGAGCTGTGTTTGTTCGTACGCACATGTGTGTGTGCCTTGTTCCAGGCTGGGTCCCCCATCCCCTCGGTCGGTCTGTTCGTGGTGAATCTGTACGGCCCTGCTCACACCCTGGAGATGATCCCTCCAGACTCCATCAGAGCCAGGTACACAGCCACTACCATCACCTCTCCTGCTGGACAACAAAGATGCAGGACTTTATGGAGGCTTATTGGTCATTGGTCCACGTCAGCACTCTTGTCTTAGTTCTTCCTGTTGCTGTACAGTCACCTCTGACGAAGCCACACTTTACCTCAGAAAATGTTCATAGAGTGTGTACCCTGCAGCTGTACCAAATATCCCTTTCTGCTTTCCGTTCTGCTCAGAAATAAAGTAATAAGTCAGATAACTATATTCCTTAAGTCCAGATTTTATATTTCCTGTTGCTTTGCCTGGCAAGATGAGTAAAATGCTCTGTGTGTAAGCAGACGCACACAGAAAATCCTCTAAAAAAACTCACAAACAGTGCTGGTACACATGTTGATTACTATATTAACGATATGGATTAAAACAATTTGGAATAGTAAAGAAGTGCACTGTGGGACCTGTTGTGTTTGTGTTTGCTGGCAGGGAGTACTACATCTCCATGGTGACCTGGGTTAGCAGCACCCGATTGGCCGTGCGATGGCTGAACCGGCCCCAGAACCAATCAGTGCTCACCGTGTGCGAGGCCACCACAGGGGCATGCTTAGAGGTGAGATGTCAGAGTTCAGTAACACTGTTTGGAGATCAACCAGCTGTTGTTACCATAGTTCACCCCTCTAGTTCCTGCCCAGTGCTTCAGTCTGCCAAATGATAAATTGTTATTATCATGATGTATAATGAGTGGCATAGCAGCACAGTGGTTGGCATTGCTGCCTTGCAGAACTAGGGCCCTAGGCTTGGTTCCTGGTGTTCTGTCTGTGTGGAGTTTGCATGTTCTCCTGGTATTCACGAGGGTTTACTTTGGGTGCTCCAGTTTCCTCCCACGGTCCAAAGATGTATTGTTGGGTTAATTTAGCATCTGAGAAAACTGGCCCTGGTGTGTGTATATTTGTGTCTGTGTACCCTGCTTTGGACTGGCGTCCCATCCAAGGTGTACCCTGCCTTGCACCCTTTGCTTGCTGGAATAGGCCCTGGCTCCTCCGTATTGGATAACTTCCATCCAGTTAGAAAATGGATGGGAGAATGGATTATGTAAAACAATGGCTATTTTTAAAATTAATTAGCTGCTTTCCATTTTCTCTCATTCTTCTTCAGAAATACAAATCTGCTGTGGATGTCTGGCAAGGCCCAGCACAGGTATCTTGCCTTTATCGCTCCAGCCCAGAGCCTGATGCGCTCCTGATCGAAGGGGCCTTCAGGAGGCGGTCCAATCTGTGACATCTGACTGAGTTCCAACACAGAGAAAATGCATTCAGACACCTCAAAGTTCATCACTTTTTGAGTCCGCACGCCAAAATACATTCATTTCCTATAGAGACTTTTATTCTGCAAACTCATCTAATGAAACTCATTCAAAAAACCCAAGCACATTTCCTGGAAGTGCATGTGGAGTCATTACCTTTCTGGAAACTTTGCTCTATCAGCTTTTTATTCCCAAATGGAATAGCAGCGTTGACCAAAATGTCTGCTCGATATGTAATATGTTTTGTGAAGACTCCACGGTTCTAAAAAATTGTGGCTTGTTTTCAAATACACAATAATGCAACTTCTTCCCTTTCAATATTTTACGTTAATTGGTTATGTGCTACATTGACATGATGCCGTTAATACAATTCCAGGGGGTTTTCATAGATTTGTACACACTGCTGTGAACAGAAAGTGTCTCATTGCTTGACCCAGAGAATAGATTTCTTATTTATACTGACAGCAGACATTAGAATATCAGATCATTCCTAAGAGTTTCCACATTACTGTTGGAAATGCACTGTGGTTCTGACCTGTATGTGGAATTATTGGTAAGAAAATCACTGATCAGAGACACTGAGTATTGTGTAGAGACATTTCTTAAAATACAAATATAGTGGAATCTATACTGTATGTTCCCGTTTCATTTTTTCTGTTACTGTACATCTCGCATTCCAGCAGGAGGCGCCACTCTTCTCCCAGGATGGCTCCATCTTCTACCTTACCCTGCCAGCCAAGCAGGGGGCCCGTGGCGAATATCGCCACGTTGCCACGCTGGCAGCCCAGGTAGGTGCCCGCTGTACAGTGTCAGGCCTCGCTGTCAGCTGACATAGTGCACAGTGTAAAATCCTTGATAAAATGAAAGTTGGGCACACAGCACTGTCCCTCCTCTGATCTGTAGAAGACAGCCCTCTGCATCCTTCCTGTCAGTCAGTACACAGATCACCACAGCTTTCTAACGGTTTTGCTCTATCATACAGCCGAACTGAGTACTGTTCTGAAATACAGGCTTGGTGCCCTGCTGCAGTGGGAGTGTTTTAATGCTATGCACTTTCACCTGGGAGCCCTGGTTTAACTCAGCTGTGCTCTTCTGATGCCAGGCTTGTAATGCATGAAATTCCTTGCACTTTTAAAAAGGTCCACTTTAACCAACTTTTTATACTATAAAACAATCGCAGTGGACAGAGAGAGTCTTTGACATGCACAAAGAAGAAAGCCCACTTCTGACTTCTGACAAAAAACAGGACATCATTTTTTTACATGAGAAAAATCATTAGTTACTGTATATGCCCAGTGTAAAGGTGTCTACACTTTTCTACTGTAGTTCTTACCTACATTTAAGCTGATGTAATGGCTGTTGCTTCAGCCAGCCCTCTTTTTATAAAATATAGAAATGTATTGTTGTGAAACTAACATCATTTGGCCAAGCTGATTGGCTTTTACAGCTTTGTACAGCCAGTCAAATGCAAGGACTAACCTCGTGTGGTAATAAAGGTGGGCGTCTGCTAACAAATTAGTTTGCGATTTCTTCTCATGGGTAGAAGAATAGTTCACAATTCAGGAACAGGGGAGACTGACAAGCATAGACATTGTTATTGAAGGATGATAAACGTTGTATCAAGGATCCAACATGTAATGTCCTGGGATATATTAGAGATTTCACTGGGCCGCCACTTCAAAATGGGCACAGTCCTGGCAAACCTGGACAGGTGCCGATCCTAGCACCATCTTAATCTCATGATCCTCTCTCTCCTCCTCGCAGCAGCCAGCGGTGCCCTCCACCCCGTCTCGATTCCTGACCTCCGGAAACTGGGACGTGACGTCTCTCTGCGCCCTGGATGAGGAGGGGGGGAAAATGTACGGGATTCTCCTTCCAAGGAGCATCTTACCAGACAGAGACACGGGGCATAACCGTCGGGATGGACAGTACTGTCCTGACGCCTGGGAGCAGGCCAGTTCAGAATCTGCTCTGGAGCTGCTGGGTGTGCTGATGCTTATGTTGCCTTCACCTTGTGATGGTATAAGGTTTTTAGTAGTGAGCTGAGCTCATTAGGAGCCTGCAGTGCATTTTAAAAACAATGAGGACTGAATAATACAGACCTAAGAGTGGGGAGATCATGTACTGTACATCAGCCAGCCTGGACCAAAACTGAGCTCCTTGGGTATGCCCTGTTTAAAGTAGCTGAATTGCGTTGTCGAAGTAGTGCCGTGCAAGGTCATTTTTGGGAACATTAGTGTAATCACAGTGGTCCACCTTGGTCTTTTACAGATACTTCCTGAGCACAGAGGCGTCCAAGCGCAGCAGGCATCTGTACAGGTGAGCCCGAGATTCTGCCCCTGTTTGTTGTAACAGATAGTGACTTTGACAGCTTTGTCATTGCATTTTCTTGGAGTGCACTGGAAACATTTGCAAAAAAATGACAGCATTTGCCCAGTGCTTATCGTAGGTGCACAGAACCTTTTTTATCGTGAAAATGGCATGCACGCATGAAATGTTACAAGCGAGAGCCCACTTATCCCATCTAGCAAGTTTGGTTTATAAATAACTAAAGAATCTGAGAATCTCATCCAGCCGTTTCTCGAATGAAGACAGGATATCGTCTTCAACAACATGGCCGGCTCCCCGTTCCACACTCCCACCACCCTTTTGGAGAAGAAGTGCCACCTGTTCTCAGATATACATGCGGCTCCATGGAGTTTCTACTTTTGGCCTCTGGTTATTGTTTCATTGAGTCTATGTTGATTCTTCACTGTTGAGTTTGGGTTGACCGTGTCAGCACCCTGGAGGATTTTAAATATGTGTCAGGTCCCCTTGTAATCTTCCCTGTTCAAGACTCAAGATCCACACAGACCACAGGGTGAGCACCCCTTACTGGTCCCAATAACACCTCTTCCAGCAGCAACCTTAGTTTTTCCCAGATGGTCTCCCATCCTGATACTGACCAGGCTCACACCTGCTGAGCTTCAGTGAGCTGCCAGTTGTGAGTTGCAGGATGATATGGCTTTCATATCACTGAGTTTCCAAAATAAGGCAGGCGAGGTTCTTAGCTGGGTAGTCACGGAACAAACGAGCCTGGGGGGACCCTGGGCAATAGCCTGTTGATTAACGGCATTGGCACGGCTATTACGCACGGGGAATGTATCGGTCTGCTCTTCCCTGGGATGCCTCCAGAGCAGCACCATCTTTTTTGGCTCTTATTAGAGCTTATTATATTATAAGACTTATTTTGGTCTCATTAGAGCCTTGTACGGTACAGTTTGAACTTACTGTCGTCCAAAACGCAACAGGGGATGCCTGTCGGTGTCTGGCAGTGGACCGTGTTTGAACACAGGTGTGTGAATTACATCTGACAAGCGCTTTGAATGTGAATGTGTCTCCGCTTGTCAGAAACTGGTACTGGAATGTCAGAGCAGTGAAGGGTCGTTGTATCTTCAATCATGGCTGCACAGTACATTACTGTCAATCGATATGAAGCGTGAGTCGCTGTATGTACTTACGTTCCGGTGTTCCATGCCTGACATTTCTGTACCTGTGCTGCGTTCTGACAAGGTACTACTTCCTAACATTCAGCGGAAATCCAGGTGCTGCTGTGCAGGAGATTGTGTTTCACTGAGCATTTGACATGCTGATCTAGTGTCAGCTCTGCCTGCTCAGAGACCCTGGGCCCTGTGCACCGTAACTCAACTGCACTCCTCACCATCCACCAGCCAGCAAAGAATCCCTGATGCCCAATCACACCAATAATTCCTGCTCGCCAGAGGCTTTGCTTAAACGCACACTGGTAATTTATCGGACTCCTTTGTGGTGCCTTATAATACATCATCTCTGCTTTCACGCTGAAAACGCCACGTGTAATTATTATAGCTGTCGGCTCCAATTCCGCTCCCCATCTGTGGTACACTTCGCAGGAGGATCATGATCTGCTGAACTCAGCGCGTGGCTTTGCGATTGCTTTTAAACAATGTCAGGCCCACAGCAATGATAAGGCAGCATCCGCTGCAGCCCCCTTCTTTTTGAGGAAGAAAAAAGTCTTTTTTGTGTATGTGTGCGGCAGGGTTAATTAATTATAGACGTTGGCAATATTTTCACACTGTTATGACTATAAATCTTCCGAGACAATTTAAGAGCGAAACCAGATTACGGCATGAGTGCTTTATGAGGTGGGGGGTTATTCTGACTTCGGGGTCTTTGAATGAGTCACCATCAGGAAACAAAGCAATGCAGTGCTGATACGTGAGGCTGACAGTGTTCTCTTTTTTTGTAATCATCGAAGCACAGCCGTAAAGCTACAGACTTTAGACCTCAGAGAAAACTGGACTCCCTCCTCCTGTTGAGAGACCAGTGTTTCCAGTCTTTGACCTCCCTGCCCTGCCCCAGCCCCCTGGCCGTCTCCTCCCTCGCCGGGGCCGGTGTTCGCTCAGCGAGTCCCCCCCCGAGACGCCCTCATGATCAGGGCTCACTCCCCACCGTTTCCTCCCCCTCGCAGTGTGGTGGCTCGATTCATTGCTTATTCATGAGAACAACGCCGCGAGGGGGAGGATAGATGCAGAGTGATGGTAATTACAGGGAATCAACACCCTCCTTTGTCAGGCGCCAATACCTCCCACAGCGAGTGCAGCCTGTAGAGCAATAATATTTGTCTGCTGTGGCTTTAATGAAAACGAAAGGGGACTGCAGCTTCCCCTGCTTATTAGAGTGATGCATTATTCTTTTTTCTGCTGTTTTTTTTTATTTTAACGAGACAAAGTCAAGAGTATTATTTTTTTTACATTTTTTATTAGTACTTTCTGTGTATTAGGACCCTGGTGGAATTCAGCACTTCCTTGGGCCGGGAAGTCACATTTTCAGTGAAAGATCAACACTTCAGTGTCCAGCCTGCTCCTTCTGTGGTGTGCTTTCCGCAGACTTGGATCTGAACCCTCTCTTCTCTTCCCCTTCTCCCCCCAACAGCGCGGACATCACCGGCGTCTTCCAGCGGCGCTGCCTGACCTGCGACCTCCTTCCCAACTGCACCTTCTTCGGGGCGAGCTTCAGTCCCCAGAAAACCAGCTTCGTCCTGCTCTGTCAAGGTGGGCTGGGCACTGAGCCTCGAACCCGAGGCGCTGCCACTGTCCGCCCAGGCACTTTGTATCTGAGCACACTGTTGCCTTTAACCCTTGCAGCTTCTCTCAGATTCTTTGCACCAGCTCTGCCTTTTTAGTTCAACCCAAAACAAGCCTACTCACTAATGACAGGTACAAGTGCATTTCATTCTTTATAAGATAGATAGATACTTTATTGATCCCGTGAGGGAAATTGCAGTGCAACAGCAGCTTAACACACACAACACAGCCACAGTGTAACGAATTATATTATAATAGTACAATACATACAATACAATACAATACAAGAGTTACTCACAGTCCGGACACACAAAGAACAAACTAGAACAGAACAGTACACAGAAAAATCGTATCACACATATGAATATAAATATAGATTTAAATATAGATATAAATATAAATGTATTGCACAGGTCCCTGGCATATATTGCACAAAAAATGGTTGTAAACGGGAAAGAAAAGAAAGAGAACAGATGTAGCAGTAGATGTGTAGATGCGTTCAGTCCAGCAACAGGTCACTGTCAATGGTGCCTCTGCCCAGACGCAAGGTGGATGCGTTGTACAGTCTTATGGCAGAAGGCAAGAATGACCTCCTGTAGGGCTCCCTGTCGCACTGTGGATGAATCAGTCTATTGCTGAACGTGCTCTTCATTTCTGCAAGCCTGTCATAGAGGGGATGGGAGAAGTTGTCCATGATGGCCTCTAGTTTGGACATCATTCTCCTCTCAGCCACTACCTCCAAGGGGTCCAGGTCAGACCCAATGACAGAGCCTTCATTCGGTAATAGAGGAGATGATTAACATAAAATAACTTGGAATTGCTCTATGGCCTGCTGATGTTTTTTCGACAGTGAAAATGTTTTTAAAAAGTGTTAAAAAAAGCACCTTTGTGGGCTTGATAACAGAAACTTCACAAAGGAGTTCAAGGTCAGATGTTAGCTATTTGATAGGTCTAATAACACACATATAAAATGCCCCTTTGTGCTTAATATGTGGTGATTTGCATGTGTGTTTCTTTAAAATTTCTCAGCATGTGTTTTCCCTGAGAATAAAGCAATCTTGTGTCTCTCGGAAAGACTACGTCCTTGTACAATATTGGAACATTTTGTCATTTGCAGCAGTATTGATTTCAGATAGTGCGGGAAGTACATTCATTTCTCATCGAAATAGATTCAAAATGAGTTCTGAATTGAGCTCCTGGATTGTGTCCCAAGCTAGTGCAGTTCCACGGTTTTCTATTTCTACGTTAAATGAAAAAAAAGACATTGAACTGAACCAGTTTGGCCACAGCGCTGCGGCATTTTCGAAGCATCCTTTCCCTTCCAATAAGAAGGACTGAGATGCAGGCAGTCGGTGCTGTCGGGTCTCCTGAGCCTCAGGCAGCTGGGATCTGCGAAGGAGGGCGCATTTCAGAACCCTGTCCCAGCTGAGCAGCTGGCTGCCCCTTCGAAGGAATCCACACGCAGGAGATCCAACCGTGCCGACTGAAACTGGCACGGCTTCTCAACCCCAGAGAATACCGAGTCAGCATAGGTCCACAGTCGCAGGAATGTGGGAAACCTGTGATGCACCTGGGGCGTGCTTAGTTTTTTTTATCGAAGACTTGCTCTGCCTTGAAACTACATCTCATTAGCGGATGAGGTGTAGGCTTGTGTCAAATCTCTAAGTCGTCAGTTTTGGTTATGCGTTTCCTGGCAACAGTAACAAAGTGGGCCTGGGGACTCTTAGGGATTGGGTGAGGAAAAAAGAACATCCTACTGCTTCATCATGGAAATCAATCAATCAGAGATCACTTTATTAGCCATATACAATTTCTTATATTAGGAATTTGTCTTTTTGCATACCCAGCAACTCCTGGAGTAGCTGGGGTTAAGGGCTTTGCTCAGGGGCCCAATGGAGTAGGATTCCTCTGCCGGCCATTGGGATTTGAACCAGCAACTGTCCAGCCACAGGCGCAGCTCCTTAGCCACAGTGCCACTGCTCTGCCAATCAATCAATCAATCGAAGTTTATTTATCAAATGCACAACAATACAGCGTGCAGCAGTAGTTGCTGGCAATGAAATGTACAAATCACAAAATTAAAGTTACAAAATAAGGTTTCATCATAATACCTAATAGGGCAATAGAAATGGAATAAAATAAACTCAGACAGAGCTCAATATAAATAGAGCTGCGAGGTGTGTATGCAATACATTATGTCCACGTAGTGCAGTATGCTGAATACAATGAAAACTGTGTGTCCATGTAGCCATTACTCTCAATGTAAAATCTCAATGTGTTGGGCATGGCTTGGACCCTTATGTGAGGCTGCTGTGTTGTACCACGTCTGTGTTCTCCCTGCAGGGCCCGGCGTTCCTAGAGTGAGTGTTCACAGCACAGACAAGCCCCACAGTGAGTACAGCAGGAGTGGGGGCTTCTGGGGAGAACTAGACTGGCCCAGGCATTCTGGGAACATTTTAAGCCATTTTAGCCCCCCCCCCAACCCTTAACATGGCTGATTTGAAAATGTTGTGATTTTATGTACAATGCTTGTTAACCCTGATAGAATTGTTTGCACTGTGGAGTATACATCCGTCTACCGCTAGAGGGCGGTGTTTGTCCACTTATCTGTCGGTGCAGCGGTGTATGGCGTAAATTATACTGTGTAACCCTAAAGCTCTTTAACAGCCTACAAAGACAAAGTAAAGGGGGTGCGGCAATTAGTATGCCTCATAAATGTACTGAAAGGTTTATTTAAAAAATGGCAAAGCGTTGAGTGTCTATACACACGTTGATTAAACACCTGACAGTAATAGTATGTAAATAGGTCGGGTCAGTTCTGACTTGACATGCGGGTTATTCACTGCAAGGAAGCAGTTTGTGCAGCCTCCCATCTCGTGAGCATGGCCCCCGATCTCCGGGCCCTGGTCTTACCGCTGTCCCTGCGTGGCTCTGTGCCGGCAGGATACTTAGTCCTGGAAGAGAACGGGCAGCTGGAAGAGGCCTTGGAGGGCAAGCGGCTCCCGGTGACCGAGTTCGAGACCGTCCCGGCCGACGGACACGGTAACGGAAACGGCCGCGCCCCCTGACCTGCACGCCTGCCGACTGCCGGCCGGGACGCCTGCCTCACGGCCGCTCTCCTTCCCTTCCAGACCTGCAGCTGAAGCTGGCTCTGCCCGCGGGGTACAAGGGGAACCTGCACCCCCTGCTCCTCCTGGTGTAAGTCTCCGCTGCCCACCGGCGGGGAGCTTCGGACACGTCGGGTGTCTTGACGTGCCCCCCAGGCACACGCGTCGCGCCCCTTAGCCGAACCTGATCGTCCCCCTTCAACGCAGGCAGCTGAATCCCAGGCATCAGAGTGGTTTGCGATTACACTCCCATCTTCCTGTCTGGAAGGTGTTTCCGGTGAACGCAGGTGCAGTCTGGAAGACAGGAAGTAGGTCCTCTGGCTGTTCTTGCTCTCCTGCATTTCCTGCCGTCTCTTCCACGTCTGTATCCTTGTTGAGATCCCTCTCTCTCTCTCTTGGCTTCGTAAGAACACAAGAATGTTTGCAACAGAGAGGAGGGCTCTCATCCCATCCATCCATTTTCTTAACCACTTCTTCCGATCGAGGGGCAGAGGGGAGCCGGAGTCTATCCCAGCAAGCAATGGGCTCGAGGCATGGGGCCACACTGGATGGGACACCAGTCCATCGTAGAGCAAACACCGCCACACAAACGCAGACACGCACACACTCGCACCGTGGGCGTTTTCCCAGAAGCCAATCCCAGCCCCTGCCAGTATGTCTTTGGACTGTGGGAGGAAAGCAGGGCACCAGCTGGAATCCCATGCAAACACGGGGAGAACATACAAGCTCCAAGCAGCCTAGCTGGGAATCAGTAGCTGATTGATCCCAGGATCGCATCCAGCTGTTTCTTCAAAGCAGCCAGGTTATCAGCCTCAACCACGTGGCTGGGCAGCTCGTTGACTTTCACTTGAATGTTTCCATCAGGGACGGGAGACCGGGCAGCCAGTCAGCGACGGAGCAGTTCACTCTGGACTGGGCGACCTCGCTGTCCAGCTCTCTGGGCGTGGCGCTGGCTTGGGTGGACGGCAAGAGCGCCGGAAGCAGAGGGCAAAGGTCACATGCGCTCGATCCCTACAGCCTGGGCTCCCTGCAGGTCAAGGATCAGCTGAGAGCCGTGGAGTGAGTACGACAAGGAGGGGGTGCCACCGTGACCGTCGGAAATTTCCATTGAGTTTTATTCCATCAGGCAGTTGTTTTTTTAAAAGCTTATTCCAGTGCAAACGGACAAAAACCAAAATACAATTTAAAATCATCCAATATGTTCAAAACCCTCCCTCCTTGTAAATAGTTTAATCTAGCTATTAAATCGGCAGTTTTGCTGTTACATCTGGTTCATGTAACATCTGGAGATCCTTTCGGGAAATCATCCCGATCTCAACATTGGGTTTATGCAACATCACATTGCTGCTTTGCTGGAGGTGTGAATGGGAGGTTCTGCACGTCTTATTAAGGGAAAATCGGTTAACTGTATTAGCAGCTCACCCCTGTGGATGAGTAGCTGGGCAGAGAGCTGTGAAATCTAAGATTCTGTCCCTTTGTTGTTGCAGGTGGCTGATACAGCGGCCTTACATCGACCAGAGACGAATCGCTCTGTACGGGAAGGTACTTCAGAAACACGAGCTTGCTCCCCCAAGCCAGAACCCTTAGAACATTTCCCCACTGTGAGGTCTAGTACGGTGATCTCCAACAACTGGGGTTTGCTTTTCCCATCAGAGATCTGACCTGACCTGGCCAGGGGGATGGGTTTTTTTTTTTAGCTGGACCCCCTTAGTATTTGATATTCTATTCCCATGCCACTTGCACATTTCTGGCTTCCCCTCGGCGTTGACTTGTCCTGCTTCTCTGTGCTCTCCCCAGCACTCTTGTGTGTCCGTGTGAGATCTGCAGGCAGGGCAACGCAGTGTCTTAACAGACGGCTCTTATTTCAGGGCTTCGGTGGGTATTTAACCCTGAAGATGCTGGCAGCGACAGAGCAGCGGTTTAAATGTGTGGCAGCAGTGGCGCCGATCACAGACTTCCGGTTCTACAGTAGGTCCACAGATTCCCCTTCTTTCACAGAGAGGCTGTTCCGACAAATCAGGAGCTTTTGTCCTAGCTTACAACGCAGACTCAACACTGTTGAGTTAAAGGTCACTTTCACAGGCTGACGTGACCTGGGCCAGAGTTTGTTATCTCTTATCTAGAGTGTGATAAGAGCACAAGGATTGTGTTCTATCCATTGAAAACCTATTTATAAAGCAGATTGGAATGAGGGCAAATAAGGTAAAGTATCTTGTTTAAGCACTTAGACAGGGCTTCAGTAGTGTCTTAAGTTCAAAGTGACCATCATCTAATTTATAGTCCAGAACCCAGAAGATAAACCATTTTTGCTGCAATAGTTACTCAGCATAGAAAATAGCAATGAGGAATAATCCAAGCCCATGATATTGAGCTGACGTTTGTAAGTTATGCAAATTGGTCACTCAGATGGTGTTTCTGTGAGGAAGTGTGGACACGCGTCCGTCGCTCAGACTCTCTCTCCCCCTCTCGTGTGTCTGCAGGTGCGGCATTTTCAGAACGCTACCTGGGGCTGCCAGCCAAGGAGGAGAGCTCCTACTCTGTGAGTGCCAGCTGTGTCCCGAGCAGATCCACGGACACGTGCACACGTCGTGATAGCCCCTCCAGGCGTGTTCACACACACAACACACACCGCGCCAGCCCGAAAATGCACTATGAATGAGCCTCTTTGTTACAGTACATGCATTTCAATACAGTTTATGCATTCATTTTAAAAATAAACTATATTTTCTATGGCACTTCTAAAAGCAGTTTTCACAAAGCACATTCATTCATGGTTTAATGAAGGCCACCAGGTCACTATCAACAGCATTATTCCAATCTTGGGTTCATAACTGATATTTAAATAATAATAATCATTACACTCATATAGTGCTTTTCTGGACACCCTACTCAAAACGCTTTACAGGTAATGGGGACTCCACTGAACCACCTGGATGACACAACAGCAGCCAGAGTGCACCAGTCTGCTCTCCACACACCAGCTATCAGTGTGGGGGGGGGGAGAACAGAGAGATGAAGCCCATTATAGAAATATTCCAGTCACACAGTGGTATTAAATGCGTGTCGGTGCTGGACAGGATGGCCCGGTCGTACGCTATCACACTGGTGTGGCTCTCCTCCTCTCTCCCTGCCCAGGTGGCCTCTCTGCTGGGGGAAGTTCACAAGCTGAAGGGCGAACACTTCCTGCTGCTCCACGGCACGGCCGACGGTAAGGAGACTGCGACTTGGCTGGGCTCTCGCGGTGCGGGAGTGTGTTCTTTTGAAAGATGCTGGAGCGCACTGACCTGGCCACGCGAACAGGCGCTTTCACATCCCATCTGTGATTCGCTTTTGTGCTGGTTTTTCCTGTCAAATGTGCTGTGTTGTCATGGTCCGGCGGTGCCTCTTGCCTTGTGCGTGGTGATGCCATCTAACCAAAATGACTTCTCCCTTTTGTTACCAGTGCCGTGGACCACAGTAAATCTGAGTAAAAGTATTGACACCCTAATTGTAACCCTGATCCTTAACTAACTTAATTTCCTGTCTGTGTGCATGGTAATGGCTCTTGTCCCGACAAGGATACCAAGAGCACTAAGGGGATGCTTGGCGTAAGAGCTCATTTTCTGGGTGTGCTTCCAGATAAACCTAAGGCCTCTGGTGTTCAGTGTTGCGCTCTGCAGTAACTGTGAGCTCTGATTGGATGCATCTCCGTCTGTCTCTGCGTCTGCAGCCCGAGTCCACTTCCAGCACACCGCAGAGCTCCTCAGCAGCCTGGTGATGGTGGACGCAAACTACTCCCTGCAGGTATGCAGGTTGACCCACCTGGTCTTGTGATCCTGCAGAGTCATTTCCCCCAGGATCTCCCCCTTTCTTACTCCTCTGAAGGACCAGGGAGTTGAGTCACTAGTTTAGGGTAACACACAGGGAGTCAGTCACCTGAAAGGGCACAGTCCACAAACAAGCCTAGACCTCTCACGGTCTTCATGACTTCATTAGTACGGGATACGTGGGCAGTTTGAACCAGGGCTGTGTTGTTACCCAGTTGCTTGACTGGTGTGCCCCAAGCAGCTGCTCCGAGTAGGCGGCGCCCAGGCTAAGACAGAGTGGTTTTCGAGTCAGTTGGGGTACCCTTGATTTCCTGCTAGCGCTCAAACTCAATCTCAATCGATTATGGCAGGCTGGAGGCATCAGAGAAGTGCTCAAGTCATTATTATCATTACCTTCTCCTGCCGGTATTATAATAATAATAATACAGCACATTTCTGGACCCTGAACTCAAAGCACTTTACAGGTAATGGGGACTCCCTTCCACCACCACCAGTGTAGCCACCCTTGAATGGTGCACCAGCAGCCAGAGTGCTCACAGTACGCTCACCACACATCAGCTATCAGTGGGGGGGGGGGGGGACAGTGTTGTTGTTTTGAAATGGGAAAGGTGTTGAAATTAATCGGCCTCATTTGTCCCGTTGTCTCTGCAGATCTACCCCGACGAGGGCCACACCCTGAGGGACGAGCGCAGCGCCCAGCATTTCCAGAGGACAGTGACCCGCTACATCGGCAGCTGCCTGCACAACCCGCGGAGGAGGTCTTCCGAGGGGCCGGAGGACGAGTACTGACCCCTGCTGGATCGGCCCGGACCACATTGCCTGTGTCGAACCAGTGCTCCCATGTTTTGGAGGAAAACCAGCTGATGCTGCTCATCATTCCACTCATGTCTCAGGATCTGACTCTGGGTTTCCCGTGTGTCTGTGCGCGTGCGTCTGTACCAGTTGTGGTGGAACGGCGGCGCTGACGGGCCCGGACTGGGCCAGAGCCCCCGGAACCTCCCTGCCCATGTTAGCGCTTCCGGCCACAGTTTTTTGTGAGAAAGAGCCGAGTCCAGTCTGGAGGGATGGGGGGTGCTTGGGGGGAGGGGACTGCAACCCACAACATCTAAGACCATCAGGCAGCTTTTTGGGAGGCATTTTTTAATGAACAAAGAAAATATAAAAAAATGAATTCTTGCACGAATATCAATACTAATCTACCTCTTGCCAAAGCAGAGAAGAGGTATGAGTTTTGCAACAGAGAGAGAGAGAAAGAGAGAGAGTTAGGAGTGAATTTCACTTCTGTGTAGCATATCTACTGCTATACTCTTTTTTTTGTAAAGAAAGCAATATTTGATTGCTGTTTTTAATTGCTTGATGCCTGACAAACAAATTGCATAATTGCATTTAGGAAATAAGTCTCAGAATAGTACCTCATTAGCTTCAAAAGTAAAAAAATAACTTGCATTTTCCAATTTATTCCTTGACTCTATGTTACATGTTCTGCATGACTGCTGGTGTTTTTTTCTGCAGTAACTGGTATTTAAATTCTGGGTAGCCACTTTAAAATTGCTAAGACATCTTTAGCTTCAGTATGTGATAATGTCCTTGATTGTGTAAATGTCATATTTAGCCTGTACACTTAACACTATTCTGCAGAGCGATTTCTGAATTCTTTACAAACAGGCGACTGCGTGTCCAGCAGTTTTGTGAAGTTTCGAGAACATGGCCTGACAATAATGGGAGACTATTGGACGTCCACGGACAATGTCTCTGTCCAGGGATGTTTGTCACAAGCTTATTTGCGTAGTTTTATGGGGATGAAGAACCCAATTAAATCTGTGCAAGGCTCTGAAGGCTTTTAGCAAGGTACTGAGACAATGACAAAGAAATGGAGATAGATGAGGGACATACATTGGTAGAATGTAAAAAAGGTATGAAATTAAAAATAGGGAGAAAACTAATCTGATTTAAATATGGTACCACAATCCAGCTGTTGTTGAAACTGCAAGTTTGCTGTGGTTAATGACCATTTCAATTGGCCAGTATTATTAGCAATGGTTTTATCTTACATGTACAATGAATGCTTAAGGAGAGTGCAGTCAGCATGCTTCTTAGTACACCCTCATAGGATTTGGCTGCGGTGCAGGATTTTGTAAATTTTTATTGTTTATGAAAAGTTAATTATAGTCAGAGTAAGACTTGAAGTCTTAAGCTTGAGCTGTTTTGAAAACAGCTGAACTGACAGGTCAGATGGTGTAAATATGTCCTTAGCCACATGGCCATTTGACCATCACTGCCTTAAATTTTCACTTAAGGAAATCCAATATGCATTGTGCCATTGTTTGTAGTTTTTAAGCGATGCAAGAAACTCACCTTGGGATATCAAATGGCTTGACTCCAGGTTCATATAGATTCACGTCTATGCTGTAGCTTCTTTTTCCAAGAGCTGAGGTGATTGTCCATCATGCCCAGCTGGAATGAAACAATACTCACCATTACGAGTTTGCATGAGTCTGCCACAGCGCGCCCCCCAGTCACGACTGCCCACGTCCCCTCGGAAGAAGAGACCACACAGCTCCACCAGCCTGAGGCCAGTACTGCACGAATAGGGCACTCACTCAGTTCCAGGGGTCAGGGGGTCAAGATTTCCCATTCATTCCAGCTTCCTGTCATAGGATTAGGGGTTTGGTGAGGAATCCCAATGTTTTTTTTCCCCCAATAGACTGCTGAACCAGATACCGCTCTTTATTCCGCAAGCTTTTTTTTTTCTTAAAAAAAAGGGCAGAATTGGGCTTAGGTGTGGACACGCTGGTTGAATCCAGATTCTGCAATGGAGTTCAATGGAAGGGCTGCACACTGAGCACTGACCCAGGCCAGGCTACATCAGAGGTACAAAGCTACAGTCCTTTAAGGCCAGAGTCCAGCGGGTTTTCTGGCTCTCTTTAAAGAGCCGACAGCTGAAGACCCCTGACAAGTGTTTGATTGGTGCAATTAGAACAATTGTTAAACTAAACAGTGGAATGGAATGTAAACCTGCAGACACTGGGACCTTTTGCACCACCAGTCTAGAAGAGAACGATAAAAAACATCAGTTTATTTATTATTGTAAAACAATATTCGTGTTTGATGATGGTGGAGAGGTGTTGCCTAATGGTGAAAAACTTTTACACTAGATTACAGGATTGTGATTTGGGGGTCCCGGGAGCCTGACACCTCCTTATCAGCCCACACTGAGCTCTGGAGACTTCTGGAGGCCCTGTGCATGAGTTCAACCATACTGGAATGACCTTGCTTTGATAGTAACGATAATGATAATGCTCCTGAATTTTATCTTTCAATAAAGTGTGAGTTCTAATTTTTATATCTGTGATCTTTTCTGTTTAAACTGTAGTTACAACTTTTTTGAATAAAAAAATAAATACTGCAAAATCGAGTATAACTTGATTTCTCCCTGTTCTATAATGAAACCCTAAATGGCAAGCGAAGAGTGCCAGTGTGTTCTGCTGTGGGTGAGGTGGGACCGCCTTGAGCAACTACCATTCCTGAAACACGTGTGCAAACTACCTTTCCATTCACTGACTGAGGCCAGAATGTTTTTAAGGAGTCTTCCTCTCTTCCCTATTTAGAAATCGAACACAGAAACGAATTATTTCCTACGTCTATGCTTAGACGTGCACTAATTTTGACGCCTTTATTCCAACATGCATGGATGAATGTTTCATTTCATGAGCCACCACTAGGACAGGCCTCCTGTACTGTCCATCCACCCCCTCTGCTGTTGCTTCTCTATGGGGGGACCGAGTGCGCGCGGAAGCGCCACGCAGTAGCCGGTGGCGGGGACCTCGAAGTAACGACGTGTGGCCGGAAAATTGCCTTGGAGAGAAGGAGGCCGAAAAATAAAAAAAATGCCGTTCCTTTTGTTAGCTTCTTATCCTTCCTCTTTCATGACGCAGGCGTCGCTGGCCCGAAACCCAGTCCGAGCCTGGCTCAAGTGGTGATTGTGTGCGATTGTTATCTCGTATTCGGAGAGGTCCTGAGATTTGCGCCGGCTCTTATCCGGTCAGCCCCGGTAAAGCGGTCTTGGCTACTACGTCACCGCGCTGAGCTCCGCTATGGGACAGCTGTAGACAAGCCACTCATTGTAGCGGAGCTGTTAACCGGCCGTCAGCGGGTGAATATTTAAACTGTTGCACTGGTCAAGCCAAGTTGTTTCTCCGGGTAAATAATTAAACTGTTAATTTATTCAAGCCGTTGTCCTGTCCCAAAAGCAGTGTGGATTGATGCATTAATAAACGTCCAAATATGCACTCTGATCTTGGTTGTTTTTGAGACTCGTTTGCAACAATCTGTTTTACTTCGTAGCACGGGTATCTGCGTTAATTTGCACTCTCTGTGCCCTGAAAGTTTATTTTTCGGTAAATGGGAGGCTGTATACAGATTTTGCGACAGTTGGACCGCTAGTGTTGCAGGAATAGGTGAGGCAGCATATGAACGTGCCGAGGGTTTCAGTCGAATTTTCTAGCAAGCGCGGCGCAGCACGGTTAACGGAGCGCTTTGGAGTGTGTATTTATTTTATTTTTAGTCTGTAATTTGCTGTGTCTTTAACCTCTATAGTAATACGTCGTCCAGGTTGTTCTTTATAACTATACACTCATTGTGGACTTTTTTTTTCTTTGAGCTTACGTATGGCGAACCGATGAAGAAAAGATGTTTTCATTACCACCGCTTTCATCCGAGTCTACTGCTGTTTTGTTAACAGCAAGACCGGTTTTATCGATTGCAGTGTCAGACAGTTATATAGGTTATATATTGTAATGTGACGTACACGTGGTCTGTGATCTGAAAGTTGTGTTTTTAACTTGTTGCCCCAGGGAGGGTAAAGTGGACACGTGTCGCGAAACTGTGGATCAAGGGGTTGGGGGCAGCTTTAACGGCGGACTGAAATATTTGATTATTAGATCTGCTGAAAACCGCCTGAAAACTTCCGTCGGCTTTCTGAGTTGTTGGAGAAACACGATTGACCTCTGTTTTGAGGGGCATGTTGAGTAAACCGTTTTTAAAAGTTCTTATTTTGTGCGAATTTGAAAGAAAGTTGCCCCCTCTACTAAGACGCTCCGTGTTGTTCATTTATTTAAGATCATGGGAGTTTGTGGATTGTATGCGTAAAGTACGATCTTCGTCGTGAGGCACGGAGACGCGTGTCGTGTTATTTAACCAAAGCGTAGAACATGAGATGGCACGAAACCTGTGAAACGTATGATTACAAAAGCGACCCTCTCTACCCCCAATAAAAGAGTTGTGAAAGTTATCTGCGCATTTGAGTAATGTGGACAGGACCTTGAAGCGCCTCACAACAGGCAACCCTTTTAATAAAGCGGCCAGTGTTCACTGAGCACACTTTGAGCCCCGCCAGAAGAGCAGTAGGTGCCCCTGACGATGTCATCGATATGTTATAAGTACTCTTGTTTGTACTGTATGTATTTTTGTTACAATAAAAAAACTTAAAAATGAAGAGCAGTAGGTGCTCCAGGTAAAAAACAAAACTGCATCTCTTTATACGATGTAACTGCAGTTAAGTTGCATCATAGAGAACAGCCGTGTTTACACTCGTTTGACGAACCGCTGTTTGTAGCCTGTAGTAAAATCCCACATTAATAATAGCCATTGAAGTGCAGTCTCGTTTTTTAGTGCGTTCTTCATTCTTTTTTGTCTCTTGCACCAGAAGCGGAGCCCGGTTTCTGAGAACATTAATTGAGAATTGGAGGGGAGAGTGCATTTCTTGTGATTTAGGTAAAAAGGTCAGCAGCATGAATTTTGGTGGCTATAGAGGCTGCAAGACACGTTTTCCAACACTATGCCTTTCTTAGAGAAGGTGTAGCATTAAAAAGCACTAACCCCTCTACCACTGGAGGCCTCGTTAGCTTGACTCCCTGACGGCGTGACGTCAGATACCCTGGGCCTTCGTCGGGCTTATCCACCCTCCCTTCCAAAATGTCTTTGCAAAGGAGCACCTGTCTGCTTTGCCTGAGCTTCTTGCAGGAAGGAGGTCTGGGTTTTCTTTCATTTCCCGCTGTTGTCGTGACCCATTTCGCAGGTGTCCAGGGTCCCAGGTGAAGGCTCAGCTGCCAGGGTGTGAGGAAGATGAGGGGTGGTGTGAGCGCGCTCTGTGTGTGGCTCCTCCTGCAGGCCAGCCTTGGCGCCCGGCAGGGACAGGACATGCGCTGCGGAGGTAGAGTATGGCATGTGAGGGGTGGCCGCCAAACACATCCCAGTACACCCCAGTCACTGGTTCAGTCCTGGTTTTCATGCTGCGTGTTAGTATAAGTGAGGGGGAAAGATCCACCCATTTCAAAGGTGTTTTCTGCAGAGCAAAACTGGCCTCCTGTTTTCCAGTACTGGCAGAGGAAGTTTCTAGGTGTGGAGGTATTGAGAGAGAACCTGGATCTGAATGAATGGGCAGATCAGTTTGTTTGAATATGTAGTTTGGGGCACAAAAACGTGGCATAAAGTTTTTGATGTCAACCCTGCTGGTATTTTGAATAAAACCTCTTTCTGGAGAACAAGAAGTGGCAACACAATCACTTAGTTGGGTTTGTGGAATTAGTATGTAAAGAGTTTTAGGTACAGCTCTGCAGGGATTTATTCCAGAAACATGGTGTTCATTTTAAGTGCTTAAATGAAGAGTCTGGATCTTTCTCCATGCTTCTCCTCCTGCTGACAAGTCTCACTTGCTCCTTGCTCTTCAGCTTGCAGAGCCCTGGTGGATGAGATGGAGTGGGCAATATCTCAGGTGGATCCCAAGAAAATGATCCAGACAGGATCGTTCAGGATCAACCCTGATGGCAGCCAGTCAGTCACAGAGGTGAGTGTTGAAGTGTTAGATGGGGATCAGTGGAGTGCATTTGTTGAAGAGAAGACCCTTATACAGTGCTGCTAGAAAGTTTGTGAACCCTTTAGAATTTTCTGAATTTCTGCATAAATTTGACCTAAAAGGTGATCAGACCTTCATCTAAGTCATAAAAATGGATAAAGAGAACCCAATAAAACAAATAACACACAAAATGATATACTTTTTTATTAATTTGTTGATCAAAGTGATCCAACATTAAATGTCTTTGTCGGAAAATTGATGTGAACCTATGCTTTCGGTAACTGGTGTGACCCCTTTGAGCAACACTGACTTCAACCAAACGTTTACGGTAACTGTTGAATGTCTGTGCCAATTTCCTTGTGCCATTACCATCTCAATGTTATAGGGTGGCACAGTGTTGAGAACCCCTGCCTTGTGGTGCTCAGGCCCAGAGTTTGATTCCGGCGCTGGGGGTTCTCTGTGTGGAGTTTGTGTGTTCTCCCTGTGTTTGCGTGGGTTTCCACCCACAGTCCAGGGACACACTTCTGTGAAAATTGACCCTGGTGTGAGTGTAGTCTGTCCTATGATGGACTGACGTCCAGGGTGCATCTTACCTTGTTACTGTTGTTTGCTGGGATAGACTCTGGCTCCTCCTGCAACTCTGTATTGGATAAAGTGGTTTGAAAATGGATGGATGGAAGAAGAAGAATTTCCTACACTTATATAGCAGTTTCCAGGTAATGGGACTCCCCTCCACCTCCATCAGTGTACAGCTCCCACTTAATAATGTGGTGATTAATTATGTTATAATTAGCATAGGTGGCACCTATGACCAGAATTTCCAAGCCAATGTAATAAGCATGTTGACGGGGGAACACTGTGTTGCAGAAGGTGCCACCTGTCATATAAACTAAAAGTCTTTGATTTTGATCCTTAAGAATCCCCTGGCAGTGTTAGGAGTAATAGATATGGTAACTCCAGTGTCCTTTGATGAATTCTTGCTCAGCCGTAGTCTACCTTTCCAGCAGACTTACTACCTTATAGCTCGATCTGGTCAGGTCCCAGAACCTAATCAAGCTGCAGTAGGTGGTGATGATGGACCAGAAGGTGGCGCTGTTTCTCTTTTGCACCCTTTCTTCGATGAAGTAGTTGACTTGCTGGTGCAGGACAGGACTCCATGTGCCACCCCAGAATGTACTGTGCTGTTATCGTGGATGAAATCAACCTTTGCTGTGATGCTTGGGGAATAAACTGGACCTTCTGTGCTTAACCGAAACCTGGCACAAACAAACCAGTGGACTCCTGTTTAACCAATCAGTCCCTCCTGGGTATGGTTTGTTTGACCTTCCGGTCTTTCAGGCAAAGGCGGGGGCATCATTGTTATTTATATATTATTTGACACCTGAAGAAGGCTCCACGGCCGAAACGTTGTGTTCTCTTTCTTCTTTTTTTCAGTATGGAATAAACCTATTACTTGTTCCTTTGCATTGTTATTTATAATCTTTTTTACAGTCTAAGTCCTATTACTATACCTCCTCCCTCTTCTTTTGAGTGCCTTGTTTTAAATGTTTCTACCCCCCAATCTACTATTATTGCCACAGTTTCTAGACCACCCAAACCCAGTGAAGCCTTCTTAGGTGAGTTTGCTGATTTTCTCTCATTTTTATGCCTTAAGTTTAAAAGGATCCTTATTCAAGGGGTCTTTAATATACACATTGATTCAAGGTCTTCCAGTCTGGCTGAAGACGTCCTTTCTCTATTGGGATGTTTTGATCTTACTCCGTTTGTTTGTACCACTACACATAAAGGACACACCTTAGATTTAATTATTGCAAATGACTCTTTTGTCTCCCACTGCTCTCCCCTTGATCTAGGCCTCTCTGACCACTTAGCCATTCTTTTCAATCTGGAATTACCTGTTTCTAACACCTCCCCCTCACGCTCTGTAAATTTCCACAACTGGCGATCAATTGATCAACCAAGGTTTGCAAATTCTGTTCTGTCCTCCTTATCTTGTTTCTCTTCCTCTGACCCTCTAGAGCAGTAGTTCTCAAAGTGTTTGGACCAAGTACCACCCCTGATCAAACCAAAGCATCCAAGTACCACCTACAAGTCATCTACTCATAGGAACCCCAGAAAATTTCAGTGACCAACACGAGCATGTGTGTGCGCACACACTCACATACACATATAATAAATATTATAATAATAAATTGCAATTTTACCCGTTTCCATTTCAGGAGTCCGTCTCAGAAGTTAAAAGAAGTTTTTATTTAATGCGCATGGGAGCGAAACACAGAGACGCTCGGTGTATTTTTCTCAAATTAACCTAGAACAGTTCTTAAATATTTTTCTGTTATCTATTACGCTTTCCTGTGCTCACAAGATTGCCAGTGTTTGTAGTACGCATTTCTATGCTTTCCTGTGCTTACAACACTGACATTGTTCCAAAATCACGCACATTCTCCTACCTTCCTATTTGCTGGAGATAACATTTTTTTAAAAACAATTGGCCGCTTTCATTCATAGCACGCATTCCTATACAATAATATAGTATAGTGCACACTGTATCATAGTACGTAGGCTGTGTATTCGACACAAACTAATTTTATTAAAATAGAAAAACCCGTCCCAATTTTTCAGAGCACACAACAAAGTTCCAGGGTCATATGGCGTACCACTTGGCGGCACTCCGCGTACCACAACTGGAACGTGTACCATAGTTGGAGAACCACTGCTCTAGAGGACAAAATACAGTTACATGACAGTGCTCTTTTATCTACCCTTGACACCTTCGCTCCTTTAAAAACTCGAACCATCTCCTTCTCTCGCCCTGCCCCCTGGTACAATGACCATCTGCGATCCATGAAGGCAGCCTCTCGCAAACTTGAGCATAGGTGGCGTCTTTCTGGCCTAAATGTACATTATCAGGCTTGGAGAGATTACTTGTCTGAATATAAGGTTACTATAGAGTCTGCTAGATCCACCTACTTCACTCACCTCATTGAAAATCACCAAAACAACCCCAGACATCTTTTCTCCACCATCAATAGACTGCTCAAGCCAAACTGTCCCACCACATTACCTGCCTCATCACAACTTTGCAACACATTCTTAGATTACTTTAGTTCTAAGATCGACAACATCCGGCATCACATTCTCTCCACTACACACATCATTTCCATACCTCCTCCCTCCTCATCCAACTTCTCTGGTTCCCTTCTCTCTTCTTGACTCAGCATCCCTCAATAAACTAGTTACAGATGCAGCCATTCAAAGTTCGCAGTACAAACCTGTACCACACGCAACTACGCACGAGCCACCACGCCGTACCGTGGTACATGATTGGCTGGCCAAAATGACCGACAGGGGCACTCGTGTTGCATTGGTCGGTAGTGAAAAGATTTAATCATTTTATGTCTTTACTGTGCTCATTTTAATCCGCTTAGTATTGAATATTTATATGGAATTTTACTACTAAAGGGCAATTTTAGTTGCTGAGCATAAAAAGAAGAGCATAACGCTTCTGAAGGTCATAAACGATATTAATTTCGGAACATAACCATTATGTTAACTGTACTGTATATGGCTTGTATTGGTAATTTAAAGAAAAAAATACACACCAGTATTCAATTTCTCCCTAAACATTTTGAGCAAAGTCAAAGTCTTACATGTGGTTATTTCGGAAACGTTTTTACGTGTTCCTTCTGACCATATTACTGTACGTTTATATACTTTGTGAAAAGTGATCATTTTAACCTTTTCTGCGAATACGCTCGTTATCGGAGTAAACAAAAGCATACTTTTTAGAATTTGATTAATAGGGAATATAATATGGAATCACGTATCTAAAGAAATTAATAACGATATAAATATATTCATGTACTCATGCACAAACAGTAGTGTAAGACTTTCCATTGATATGTGTATTGCTGTTTCAGTGCTTGTCACATGACTGCATTGGTGGCGTGATGGCTTAAGTGACTGACTTATAAGCGTGAGGTCGGGTGTTCAAATCCAGCCATCCGTATGAGTTTTCTTTTTACAAATAAAATTAAAATAGCCAATATTGTGCACACTACAGTATATTGACATTTTTTCTATTTCTAAATATCCCAACATGTTCGTACTGTATGTACACAACGGTACCGCAGGGTGTAGGGCGCAAACCCACGTGAGCCGAGAACACTACATCATTAATACAGTAATGTCTTCCGTGTCACATTAACAAGTTTAAAAGGAGGAGACACTTTACACTTTAACTCTTCAGTTCACAGAGAAATTTCACCAGAGCCTTCTTCAGGTGTGAGCACCTCCACGGCCGAAACGTTGTATGGAATAAACAGCATGGAATAAACCTATTACTTGTTCCTTTGCAGCCTACGCATGCTGACATAGCTACCCACCTGAAATACTCTTCTCGTGTCTAATTTTTAGTTTAGCAGGATTTCATGTGAAAGGCAGTGACATCAAGCAAGCCGAAATCAAAGTTTAACCCGTTCAGAGCCTACATTACATTTTAGCCTTTCATTTTGAGCTGAAGACCCTCACACCTGAAGAAGGCTTCATAGCCGAAACATTGTGTTTTCTCTCTGCTCTTTTCACTCTTTTCAGCATGGAATAAACTTATTACTTGTTCCTTTGCAGACTACGCAGGCTGAAGTAGTCTTGTACAGTGATAATAGAAGTGGGTAATGTCATCCCCATTAAACAATGTGCTTATCGCGCAAATCCTGCTAAACTAAAAGTGTGTATGTCTGTTTAGGGTTCTGTAGCATTCCAGTTTATGTTTGTATTTGCAAGAATACCAATTACAAACATTAAAATCATACTTGCTTTATACTGTCCAACTGAGCAATCTTTCTTTTATAAAATGTACAGACTTTTTCATGTTTAAATCGCAAACGCGTGTTTAATTAAATGTCTTTATTGATTCACAATCTGACAATGCAACGTAAATCGTTATCTTTGTCTTCTAAGTATCTTAATAAACTTTCAGCATAGCTTTCTCACCATTTAGATTTATTTTTCATACCATCGCTAAACAAAGCAGGAGTGTATTGTACTTCCTCTTGGAATTAAATGTGGAAAGATTAGATTGTAATTGTTTTTATTTTTTAAATACATTTTAGAAAAGTGTAATCTATACTAAAAGGCTGTATTTATTTAATACCACTTGATAGTTTACTAATAGAGATAAGAATTCAAGTTGATACTGTTTAGACTTTTAATTATTTTAAACTGTATTACAGCATCGTACACATTAAATCAAAATGGGGGTAATGGGGACTGTCTTATTATTTCTCTCTTCTCTCTCTTATTATCAAAACTCGTTCAGTTGTGGTTCTTTTGGTTTCACGGAGGGCTTCTCATGTAGTTGGGCATTCAGGTAGATTGCCAGGCGAAAGGATTAGTAAATATAGTTTGTTAATTTGTAAATATATTTTTTGCGACACATAAAAGACATATTGTGGCATTATAATATAGGATGGACACAGTGACTCAGACACTTGTTGAATGAAAAACGGCGCTTTTCTGTACAGCTCCCCCCCCACTTTCCAATGCAAGACCGGTTCCTTTCACCCAAGACAGTCAGGGGACATTAGAAACTCGCCACACCTGGACTGTTCCAGTAACGCATTAGCATGTTAAAGCAATTCCATTGAAGAGCCGGGCATGATCACTGTTTTCTTCCTTGATTTGCTGATCTGTAAGGCCACTGGGCGCCGTGAATGTGAATTCTGTCTTGCATTGTCAGATTGTGAAAAATAAAGGTATTTTATGAAACACACGTTTGCGATTTTAATCAAGATGGGGGTCTCTCTGTGACACTCTCCCATATAAAATTAACATGAAACAAAACAAAAACTAAAAATAAGATACAATCTACAAATTACAGACATTTATAACAAAGACATATCATAAAAACATTTACATATATTGTTAAATTATTACTTTAAATATATACTTTAAATTACTGTAAAGTAAATATATTACTTTATTTTATATACAGTAGCATATGATTTGGATGCTGTTGTTTTGTGCTATCTTTTTAACAGCAACAGAGTTAAAAAAAAATGTTTTCCAGAGAGCTTTAGCACCACGTACAGTACATAGGTAAATGTTTGTACAGGTGTGTGTTCACTAACTAACTTTTTTAAGGATTAAAATAGTATTTCTGGGAAGTCCTGTGTACAAATAAGCTACTTAAGCAAGCCATCTGTATCAATTTTCAGATCAAAGATTCAGGTTTTGTGAGTTTGAAATCTTAAGACATTTCTGGCATACTTAAGTCTGTGTAGTGAAAGCCCAGTGAAAATCTAGCAAGGAATGCCCTGTTACAAAGAAATCAAAATAGTGTGATACCTGGTGTAGAAATGCTTTCCCAAATTATTTACAGAATAAATTGTTGTTCTACCAGGAGTTGTAGAACTGGAACATTAAAGAAGAGGAATATGATGGAGTTGTGATAATGGGTAGTGGATACTAGATCCCTGTATTGCAGGTTTTCTCCTTATCTATACTTAGCAATTATTAAGCCACTTTTAAGGAAACAAAAAAGTGGAAAGGCTACGGTCTGTCTAGTCGGAAGCTAGCAACAATCTGGTGTCCAGTGTTCTTTAGTCTTCTTCTTTAAGATTTAATTCTTATATTATTCTAAATAGTTGTATCAGGCAGATTACACTTTCCCCCAGCTCTCAATAACAGCCCGATCTATTTTTTAAATCTTTCTTCTCTTTTCAGCATCTAATAAACTTATTACTTGTTCCTTTGCAGCCTATGCTTGCTGTACGCGGCTACCCACCTGCATTAAACCTAATTAACTAATTAATCTGAGAATTAAATTAAACTAAGTGTAAAGTGCTGTGAGGAAAAAAAGTCTCTGCGGGAACACATCTGCAATAGAAAGCAACCGGTTTGACTTGTACAGTGAAATGTGACATATCTGGAGCGTCGAGTATATATCCAACAGTGTGAGCTCATTTGCAAGGCTATTAAGGTTGATTCAGTTACTGTAACAGTCCGGGTGTGGCGAGTTTCTACTGTCCCCTGTCTGTCTTGGGCGAAAGGAACCTGTCTTTCATTGGAAGACAATGAACCTATTCTACTCGTACATGAGAATATAATAGAAATACACCAAGGGATTGGGCTGAGTTCACATAACAAATAAATCCGCGAGCCTGCGCTACAGCGGGCATAGTATGGAGACAAAGACTTTTTTAGGGGAAGAGACGTGGTGCTTCAGCTACCTGTTTGCGTTAAACGAGAGAGTGTGGCGTTACTTTTTGTAATTGTGTTTTATCTTCTGTATTCTTTTTATTTATTGTTGTTGTCATTCTGTAAAGCTCTTTGAGAAGCCACCTTTAAAGGCGCTATATAAAATAAAGTTTATTATTATTATAATTATAAAGGGAATACCCTCCTGTGTGTAGAAGGGTCATCTCCTTTAAGATGCTCCCGCTGCTGTTTTAGAGGTTACTGGGAGCTGTTGAGTGATGTCAGCTTGGTAACCATGTGGGGGCTCTTCCAGGCAAGCTGAATCACCTCAGTGTTGCCCCCCTTTACCCCCCAATCCCCCCCCCCCAAAGGTACCCTTCGCCCGATCGGAGGCCCACCTGCTGGAGCTGATGGAGACCGTGTGCGAGACGATGACGGAGTACGGGGAGCGGATGGACCCCAACACACACCGCAAGATCTACGAGCGCGTGGTGTCCCGGGACGGCAAGAAAATGGACCTCTCCCAGACCAGACTGGACTCCCAGGTCACCGCCAGCCTCAAGTTCACTGTGAGTCTTGAGTCCTGCTCGTTGCCGGCACCCAGGGGCTGTGTCCTTACTGAGTGACTCTGTACGGTTTCGGACTCGCGGTGGCCACGATCTCGTTGAGAAGTGCCGTCATACCCTTTTCTGTCTCAAGTCAGCTTCTGAAGAACGGTGACGATGCTTGCAGACGTAATTCCAGTACTGTCTTGCAGTGCGAGTACATTGTGGAGCACCACGAGGACGAGCTCATCGAGTTCTTCGCCCACCAAACGGACAACGTCAAAGACAAGCTGTGCAGCAAACGGACAGGTAACCTCTCCCGGCCTTTCCCTGGGTAGTTTAAACAGATGGTACTGGCCTATGGACCTGCAGAGGCCCAGATAAAATGAATGATTTAGCCTGGATGACTAAATCTTGCCCTCCGTGGTTAACTCATATTAACCATTTTGGGTATTTCACATCCCCCTCAAACAACAGTTCGTAACATAGAGCTGTGTGCCAGGAGACGTTTTGTAATTTTGGAAGTGATACACAGATGGTTGGGGAGAGAAGGGGGCACAGTGAGTTTGGTGCAGGGGTGTTTTAACTTGGGTAACCAGGTAAAGATGCAGCATTGGGGTGACCCAGGGACTGCTGCTCGGTGCTCGTCCAGGTTCATGAGAAAATGCCACTGGGCCAGGTGGGTTTCGGATGATGCTTTTGAAATGGCTTGCTTGCAGGGAAGGTGTTTGAAAGATGACTGCGTTGATTTTCTATTAAGAATCTGATGGCCATATTTTTCTTCTTCACTTCCGACCCTCAGATCTGTGTGACCACGCGCTGCAGATACCTCATGATGAGCTCTGATCACTGCCACCGTACAGAACTCTTTATCCGCTGAGGCGGAGAGGGTGCCTGAGATACCCAACAGCAACCTCCTCCATCCCTTTCAGAAAACCCTGAGCCCTGGAGCCTCACCAGCCAGATCTGCCTACTAGCGCATCCCTCTGTGGAGATCAGTGTGACGAATCGGGTGCGGAAATACCTGCTGTCCTGTATGTGTCCATGTGTAACAGAATCCCTGGACAATTTTTCCTTGCTTTCTCCCTCCCCCCTTGTCTATTTTGTTTGGTTCTCGGTGATTAATGAGCAAACCAGATCCCTGGACCAACCCACCAACCCCAGGGCTTAGTCAAGGGCAGAAAGCGAGATGATCGCTCAACTGGCTGGAAACGTTGGATGTTCTCAAACAGCCAGCTCCAACCCATGACCTGCAGAAAAGATAACATCTGGCTAAAATTTGGAAGGCAAAGAAGGCTTGTTAGTCAAATTAGTTTTTGTGAGAAGCCTCTTGAGAACAAGTGAGACTAAAGAACATGTATGCTAGGCTAAAGGCTAACTCAGTCTTTCTGAATTCTCCAGGGGCTGACAGGACTCTGCAGTCTCCGTGCTCACTGTGTCTTGACCCATGGTGCTTTTTCATGTGCTCACAAGTGCTTCACTCTAAATGGATGGTTGCATTGCCTCATCCTAGAAGCAGTCTTTACCTCTGTTGGGTAGATAGTGTGATAGTGCCCAGCCATGGAGGTGTTTTTCAGTGTGTCCATGCTGTGTGGAAAATGGAGACTGTTAACTCTGGCTCATGGGCTGGGCCGGTGCTCAGGAGGAAATGGAATACCTCTTTGTGTGAGACGAAGACTGGAGACTGTCCTGTCGGCGGGTGCATTTTCAGGAATAGTTTTGGCCCCTTGCATTGCTTTTTTTGTGTTGATTTTTCCAAGATATACCCCTAGACTTCAGCACTCTGCCACATGTGGGGATCCATGGACAGGTTTAAAAAAGTGCTCACAGGCCTCCAGATGTTTCAGAGCATTGGACGTATTTTCTCATTGATGGTGGACCAAAGAAAAAAGATGAGCTTTAAACTGGGAGGTGCACTAATTAGGGCATTAGGACTGTCACATATCAGTACAGCAATCAGTACTGTGAGAAGCCTGTATGAGCACTTCAGTCACACTGATCGCACTGATGGGGGGCTGATTTCTCAAGCTCTTTATCAATACTAGCACTACACCAGTTGTATCAATGTTGGTAGCATCTTGAGGAGTTGCTGGCAGTTTCATAAGATATTCAGTTTTGTTTTTTACTGTATGATGGAACTTGAGATTAACTGTTTAAATTGTCCACTCCAGAAAGCCAATTCCCAAGATTTTAAAGGGATGTACTGTATCCGGAAGAAACAGAACGTTCTGGAAGGAAAAGGGATTATGCCACACTGATCAACCCCTTTATGCTGTTTATTGACCTGTCATGGCTGTAACGAGCTGAGAGTACCATTCTCTCTACAACTGTTGACAAACCTACACAAATCCCTCCCTGTATTTAATTTTAATTTATTTGTGTTTGTGTATTCCGTGTTCTCCATTCACCATGTGGATAAATCGTGTGGCATCATTACATTCTTCCAATTCTACATTCCATCCGAATGGCTTCTCCCCAAATGTTTTTTTCTTTCTATAAATTTGTATAAGATTTTTCTTTGATCTAATTTTTTTTTTTAGAAAATTATATTTCTACATCAATGTTTACCGTCTGCTTGTCTTATTTCCGAAGGTGATGTTCTGTTTCTTGGTGGCCAGGCGGCACAGACAAAACTGGCAGCTCCAGGGGTCGGCGCTGGCGTGTATTAGCGAGGCTCGCAGCCTATCAGAGGCCACGCTGCGCGGCAGTGGGCGTGTCAGGGGAAGTGGGCATGCGCAGTCCGAGTTCTAACTGCGCGGGTTCGGAAGATGTAGAGGCCAGCCGACTTGATTGGCGTGTGATATCAGATCTGCAGTTCCATGATCCATACAAAAATAGAACGAAGTCTTGCCGGATTGTGTAGCTCCACACTTGAAGTGGGTTCCCAATTTAGTCTGGAAAGCAGTAGCTATTCTCTTTCTCTTTGTTGAAGAGCGTTGCTCGTTGAGATGGGGTTTGATGGCCTGTCTGCAATATAGTCTGGGCTCTGTGGACTGCAATTTCCCACTGCCTACACAATACTGGCCGTATTGTAATGTACAATAATGAAAACTTGTTTTTCTGTCAAAGAAAGCAATCTCAATTTTTAGCACTACCTTTACACAAAAAAACAAACTGAAGCCATAAAGGTTTGAAAAACGTGTCCTAGACAAAATGTTTATAACTGAAGACAAGAAGATCTGCTAGTTTCCACATTCTAAGGACAGGAATCAGAAATCCATTTTCCAAGACTGGAAAATTCAATAATGCCTTGCGTAAATCCCTATAAAATGCGACATTTCCAAACAGCCCCTTTCATCGTTATATTCATCAATATTATTTTATTGTCTTTATGGCGGCAGAATATAACATTTTGCACACCTTAACCCTTTTTTGTGTGCAAGTTTCGTCATACAGGTGACTTTCGTTTATACAGAACTCGTTAAAACTGTACCAGCACAGCATTTTGTTTCTATTTAAGAGGAGGTGGGAAATTATTGCGAATATGAATGATTTGACCTCGGCATATGCTGTCTACATGTGATGGAAAAATGTCCTTAGTAAAAACTACCATATCCCCAGTCTTTCACTTTTTTTATAGATATCGTACGATATGTGTGCTTATCTGGTGTTCAGTGAGGTGAGTAGTCTGTAGTATTGCATGTAAAGATTGTGACAATTGACCTTATCTCTTTGTGCTTTCTGGGTAAAAGGTCAAGGGCTCGGCTAACCACGCTAGTTCTAAATCGTGTGGCGATTTAAACTGATGCGAGTTGTGTAGTGGTGGTAAATATATCTCCTCTTGGCATATTAGAAGTTAGCAATGGTCAGGGCCGTGCGTTGTAGGGATGTGCTATTCTTGGTACTGGGGCAGTGTCCCTCAAATGTATCTTGGAACAGCAGGCGATTTTGACAGTTGGCTTGTGTGCAGCCAGGTCACAGTGGGAGCACCAGTTCTCCCAAATGGACAGATGACATCACCGCATAGGTGCGTCGTTGGACCAGAAAAAATGCTCGTCCGCATTGTTATAAAATTAGCATTGCAAAACCTATGCATTGCTCAGGAGGTGTTGTGTAAGATAACCAAGGATTCCGTGCCACGCCTACATAAGTTTAAAGGAAGTTTGAAGATAAGTCTGGGAGCAGCTGCTTAGTCTAAAGGAACAGGGTTTTCTGATTTTCTGATTACAATATGAGTATGTTTAACAACGAGGTAATCCAAAATGAGTTTGTAAAAAAAATAGGATTGTTACTTTAATATTATAAAGCACAATTATAAAGTAAAGGTAATAATGTGAACTTTCTGAAGAGCCGAAGGGGGACCTTTCACGTGGCCTCCTGAAACAATTGATGTTTTGAAAATCCTTTATACCTTGTAAACACCGTTAAAAATCTGTCATAGTTCACCATAGTTCAACCTCCTGCATTTTCTAAACTTAGTGTAAGTATCGAGTTGAGACTGGTTATCTGGTCTGCAAATGACCAGAGAGACACCCTTTTGATCTCAGGCTCTTCACGTCCATTATTATTCAAGTTCGAGAGAGAGGGCAACGGGCTTAAAGAGGGTATACATTAAGATGCCTGTGCCTAAACATGTTTGTGCTTGGCTTTAATATTGATTTGGAAAATCTGTTTCATTCACAACCACATACAGCAACATGAAGACATGTTATAAAACTGCTCCAACAAGATACAAAACCTAACAGACAAATCTTAATAGTACGCGATGAAGAGAGTAAAAGGGCTTTTTGTACAGGCACACTAACGGACTACCCTGAACAGTTTTCGTAGGTGGGTCGTCGTTTTCTCTTAGGTCACTCTTCTTTCAGACCAATCACGGTGGAGGCTGCCGGGCGCCGCAGCCAATCGCTGCCTTCGGAACGCTCGGCCAGCGAATCGGATCTGTTTTCATCCCCACGACCGCGTCCGGCCCCTCGGCCAATCCGAGCTGCGTGTGCTTGGGGGCCAGCAGTCCCTCTTTCAACCTTCACTACCGAACTTGAATCAGGAGGGGCACCTTCAACAAGCTCCTCGGTGTGCCGGCAGCTTAATCATTAAAGAAAAAACCGACAATAGTCGCTACACACACAAGGCACCATGTCCTTACTAACAGTCAGCAGGCTAGCGCCCAGGCTCCTGAACTCTAAGGTAAGTAGGAACAGAAAAGGGTACCGTCCTCGCTACCTCGTTTTCTGCAGAGTTGGTGGTAATTTTATTTTTGGTAACGCGAATGCGTTCTTATCAGTTCCTCGCCTTAACTTGTGCTGGCCGGGCGAGTAGGCCCTGCATGATAGCACCGGTTTTCACTGCGAGGTTTAAAGGCGTCGGTGTGGCTCCTGGCTGCCGGCTGCCCGTCTCGCCGTTTTTTGGCGGTGAAAAAGCGGGTTCGTGGCCTGTCTGCACGGGAATGCGGAATAATACTCGGTAACGGAGGAGCCGGCGGCTGCCGAGCGGGTGATCTGCAGCTCTGACGACAGTAACAGACCTCTCTCTCTGAGAAATCTCCGCACCGCGACAAAAACATAAAAAATAAAACGGCAGAGTTCTTGGATTTTAAATCCGCGTTCTGCAACCGGACGCTGCCGATCATAATTTAAATAAGCAGCCCGAGCTGCTGGTTCACTCATTTTAAAGGTCCTCTGGGCTGAAGAGTCTATCTTCTCCATTTCTCCTAAGAGTTTGTTCTTATTCTTTGCATATGCCTTTTGCGGAGCCTTAGAACCGTTTAAAACCTTAATCCGCTTTGCTATATATTCATGTTATGTTCAGTTAACCTGGCGTTTACCAATCGGTTAATTTCACCTCAGTCTGCACCTATCTGTCACCCGAATTCAAGTCACATTCATGACGGGAGCGTGGAAATGAAAGCGTTTTAGGATGTACCTATGTGAAGTCACGCTTTTTACTCCTTTTTTGTGAAAGAAAACGCACATATGTCGCCTGTGGCACCCGAAACCGAGCTGAAACCGTTTTGCAGCCGCATGCGTGAGTCATTTTTAAAATCCACCAGCCGGCCAAACTCGCACGCCCTCGCAGCTCGGAAGTCCGTCTGTGTTAGGAAGTGCACGTGGATTCTCCACAGGCGCTTTTGCGGGGCCTGAGATGGTCACGAGTGGTGTATGACCTCGCCATTGACAGCTGACCGTGGCCTGCTCTAAAGGAGGAGAGATCAATAACTTCTTATCTTGGGGCTGAGCTTGCTCGATTTTGGCAGCTCTTCTCCATGGTGGCCAATCATTGACAGATCTCTGAAGACAAGCAGCACTTGTCAAAGGGAGGATCTGGTTACACTCTTTAAGTAATACCTGTGTGGCTCTCTGTCCATTTATGTTTTTTTTACACTTTACACAGTACTTTTTTTTTAAAGTGGTAGTCTCTGGTTCAAACAGAATAACCAGTTCATTCAGATCAAGTGGAATTCCACATTGTGGCGTTTGGGCAGGCTACCCAAGGAGTATTCTAGAGTGTCAAGGTCAGGAGAAATGCCTTTCATTGCACCAGTCTTGACCTTTATCCACAGCTTAAGGGTTTTCGGGCAGACTTGTAGACTTTTTTAAAAACCTTTAGGATTCTGCTAGACAAATCTGTTTTATCACTTTAGATTCATGTAGACTATATAGATTCATGTATTTTAATTTCTGTTATTTACACCAACCCTAAGAATCCAGTCAGGTGCAGAAAGTTATGAGCAAGGCTTTTAATGCAGCTCAATATGAATTGCTTTTAATAAACAGGTTCTGAAGAAAAGGCTGCGGTTCTAATGTCTCTGTCTTGGTGCTCTCCAGCTTGCAGCCTTGCTGAGAGGGCTTCTGGTGTTTGTCCCAGTTCTGATCTTTAATTCCTTGATTGCACTCAGTATGGGAGTTACAGCAGCTCTTGGGTCTGGGGGTTGGCATGTTCTCCCTGTCTTTGCATTCATTGTCTCTAAGTAGTGCAGTTTCTTCTACCTCTCAAACACATGCTAGCTGGGTTTATAGGTGTCTCTATACATTTTGGGCAGCTTTAGTGGTCATGGATGGGATTTGTGGGGTCCTAATCAATTACTTTATTTTGTACGTCCTTAAAACACCTACATGGCTTTCCGTCCCTGGGTATACACTCTTCTCAAGTCCTTAATGGTCACTTTTTGCATTTCAAAGGAGAAAATTGAGGATGGCATCAATTTCTTTTTTTAAGCAATGCCATAATTGTCTATACAAAAAAAAACCTGGAATAAAAGATCTGCAGTCATTTTAATGTCAGCCCACACAAGACATTGTGATTGACCTCTAAGCGACGACGCAAAACCGTTTTCTGAAGAGTGACGTGGTGCTGCTGTGTGTAACAGGGTTTGGTCCAGTCCATTTTGTGTTTGGAGGGCGACTCCCATTCCAGACTGGAAAAGCTAAAAGTCCACATAAGCATTTAAGATCGCAGAGAGCTCTTCCCGTGTCAGCCTTTCCATTAGCCCCAGTGAAACTGCGGTTTATTGCAAGGCTTCAGAAAAACTGGCGCAGTCAGGACAGCTCCAGAAGAGGCCAGGCCAGTTGATGCTCTTCCTGGTTGGGACTTGAGCTGAAGGCCCGTGGTGCTTGCTCAAGGTCACTGGGCGATGGTGAGAGGCCGGGATTAACTTGGTTATATGTTAACGTGGTCTCACAGGGGTTAGTGTTATAGTGACCCGTACTGGAAAGGTTCAGGAAGAATTCCACTGCTTGCCTGTCTTCACAGAACTAATCTGAGGTGACTGATTGACCTTGCAGCGATCCGAGCCTTCTGGTCAGTGCCATTCACAATTGGTCACTGTCCTCTTGGCTGTATTGATCGTGGGTCTTAAATGAATTCTTGCAGATATGGGGAATGGTAATCGCAGATCCGGTAACAAAAAATCAGGAAGAGTCTTTTTCCCCCGTGCACTGTATGCTATGTCTAGTTTTTCATGATCTGCTTTGTCGCATCAAAAGCTGTTGGCTGTATTTTTTCTGGGCAGCTCAACAAACAGTGCTCCCCTTTTCTGGCATGATGGGACAGGATGGTACTGCAGCACATTAACCCCTGCAGTGCCAATACACTCCTGTGCCCGTTTTTTCGGCCCAGTCTGAAGCATGAACGGTCTTGAGCTTCTCAATTCACTGTTACGGCTGAGCCTGTTCCGTACCAGAACAAACACTGGATGGAAGCAAAAGGTAAGGCCATTGTGCAGTGGCTTATGCTTATTATTACCAGGGTGACACTAAAGAACAAGCAGTGCGAGCTCAAGAATTTTCCCACTGTCTTTTATTTACAGAAGCGAAGGCAGTTTTGTTTTGTGAATTAAATCTGTATACCAGGTCAGTGAGCGGGACTGCATTCCACTTTTAAGTTTATTGGGTGATGATGTGGTTGCTTTTGACATATGGAGAATCTTGCCAAAACAGATCACGTCTGGTTCACATAACAACCCGTGTCCTTGTGACCGAAAACATATGTCATCAGCTGAAACAGACTTTCTGCTGCCCCACTGAGGCGTAGTTCTGTTTTTTCTTTGCAAATGATATACAATACACCTGCCCTCTAAAGTATCCTTATGAACCATCTCTGTGACATGAGATGATAAAATTCCGTAACATAAGTTGCCACAAAGCATCTTTGTGCCTCATTTTCTGTTCTGCAGAGTGCCTGTGGGTTCACTGTATTCACTGGGTGCGCTGTTGAAGGCCACCTGTTGCTGTTACCTTCAGAATGGTCAATTGTGTGACTTTTCTCCCTGCAGCAACCGAAAGCATTGTCTTTCGTAGGGCTGAAAGTTGATCTTCAAACTTGAAAGCTTACCTTGACTGCAGTTTTGCAGGTTTGCCTGCCATTTCAACTCTGACCCGTATGGAGAGCGTCCTCTTTGGGTGTGGAGGGCACACTGTGCTCAGGCCTCCTGCACGCCTAGATCTTCTTTTCTCATGCTGATCTGTTGATGGGGCTACTGGCTTCCTGAGGGGTGGTGAATTGATCAGATTGACTTCATCACAAGCTCCTTTCATCTCTGCACAGTGTCAGTGTGCTGACTCTCATCTTCTGGTTGCCCCTTCACAATGTGCCTTTTTAAAAATTAACATGCTTATTATAATCTTCTCAGTTCTTGCATTGCTGCTTCTGCTTTTTTGTGTTTTGTTAAATTTAACAAGAATTTCTGGACTGAATGTCCTTCCCTGATGGAACAAAAGATATAATGAGTGTGCAGTCTCTTCATAGCTGGAGTAGAGCAGTGGGGATTAACAGTTCTATGGCTACAAAAACTTCACACCTCATTGAACTATTAGACATCCTTGATTTAATTGCAGACTGAAAGACGCAAAAATCATACAAGAATGTTTTGGATGCCTTTATTGGTCAGTAAGCTTGCTGATAGGTGTTTGAAAATGTGCCTTTGTGAAAGCGCATTAAAACTATACTTCTCTTTCTAGCTCCCTGGGGGTCTGATCTGGGATGTTACTACTAGGGTCACTGACTTGGATGAACCTAATAATAATAAACTTTATTTTATATAGCACCTTTAAAGGTGGCTTCTCAAAGCGCTTTACAGAATGGCAACAATAAATAAAAAGAATACACAAGATAAAACACGATTACAGTATACAGAGGAGACCGTGGATGGTGGTACTAAGAAAAGCAGAGGGGTAAAGAATGGAACCAGTAAAGGCTTTTCTAAAGAAGAAGGTTTTGAGTCTGGATTTGAAGAAGTTTAGAGAAGGTGACTCTGATATCGTTGGTCAGAGAGTTCCAGAGTTTGGGGGGCATAACAGGAGAAGGGCCCGTCACCCATACAATATAGATGGGAATTTTTGAGTCATCCAAATTTTTATGTCAGAGATGCAATTAGATAGAATAGAGACAGCCACATCAGTGTCAGGTTTGGTATGGACGTATATTTGAGTATCCTCAGCATAGAAATGATAGCTGAGGCCATGTGATCTTAAAACCTGACCAAGTGGGAACATGTAAATGCTGAAGAGCAAGGGGCCCAGTATTGAGCCCTGAGGAACACTAGACTTAACAAGACCAAATTCAGACCTATACCCATTAAGAGAGACAAAGTGACAGCAATCAGTGAGGTAAGATTTGAACCATTTGAGAGCAGTGTCAGAAACTCCAAACACAGTCTCAAGACAAGAAAGTAGATGTCATGGTCAACAGTGTCAAAAGCAGCACTGAGATCAAGAAGGATGAGTATAGAAAGAACCAGAATCAGAAGCTATTAGAAGATCGTTGTTGACTTTGACCAGGGCAGTTTCTGTGCTGTGAAGTTGACGGAAGCCAGATTGGAGGGGTTCGAAAAGGTTGTTTGTCATGAGGTGGTTATGTAACTGGAGTGTGACAGCATGTTCTAGAATTTTTGCAAGAAAGGGTGAGTTGGAGATGGGGCGAAAGTTGTTAAGGTTGTCGAGAGCCGTGTTAGGCTTTTTTGGCACGGGGGTAATGGCAGCAGTTTTGAGGACCGTTGGTACAATGCCAGTGCTCAAGGATTCATGTATAATATTGAGGACAATGGGACAGAGAGAACAGAAACAGGACTGAAATAAAATGGTTGGAATGGGGATCTAAAATAGATGTCGTAGGTTTCATATGTGTCACTAGTTTATTGAGGGATGCTGAAGGAGATGGTTTGAGTTTTTAAAGGAGCAAAGGTGTCGAGGGTAGATAAAAGAGCACTGTCATGTAACTGTATTTTGTCCTCTAGAGGGTCAGAGGAAGAGAAACAAGATAAGGAGGACAGAACAGAATTTGCAAACCTTGGTTGATCAATTGATCGCCAGTTGTGGAAATTTACAGAGCGTGAGGGGGAGGTGTTAGAAACAGGTAATTCCAGATTGAAAAGAATGGCTAAGTGGTCAGAGAGGCCTAGATCAAGGGGAGAGCAGTGGGAGACAAAAGAGTCATTTGCAATAATTAAATCTAAGGTGTGTCCTTTGTTATGTGTAGTGGTACAAACAAACGGAGTAAGATCAAAACATCCCAATAGAGAAAGGACGTCTTCAGCCAGACTGGAAGAGCTTGAATCGATGTGTATACTAATGTCCCCTAGAATAAGGATCCTTTTAAACATAAGGCATAAAAATGAGAGAAAATCAGCAAACTCACCTAAGAAGGCTTCACTGGGTTTGGGTGGTCTAGAAACTGTGGCAATAATAGTAGATTGGGGGGTAGAAACATTTAAAACAAGACACTCAAAAGAAGAGGGAGGGGGTGTAGTAATAGGACTTAGACTGTAAAAAAGATTATAAATAACAATGATGCCCCCGCCTCTGCCTGACAGACCGGAAGGTCAAACAAACCATACCCAGGAGGGACTGATTGGTTAAACAGGAGTCCACCGGTTTGTTTGTGCCAGGTTTCGGTTAAGCACAGAAGGCTACAGAAGCACAGAACCTACATTGTAAAAGTGTTTGTTTTTTTTTTTACTCCTCCATGCATGCTTTAAACCGTGCCAGTTCTTAATTTTAATTTTTGTTCGTTTGAAGTGGGGTGGCTTCAGTCAAATGCTTTTATTTTAGCAAGTAGTGCAATTTACGTCACCTGTGCCAAAAATAAGTTGTCCACAGAGGAGCTGATGGTCAAATGCATTTGCTTTGAGTTTTAAGAAACCCATAAATACAAAGAGATGACGGTTTTAAAGCTTACATTTCTTCTGCATCTATCCCAGGCTTCCCTTTCTGTGTGACTAGGTGTCCTAATGGTCCCCTGAAAGCTTCTGCCGCATTCCATATAAATCTGAATTTCCACATAAACATACACAATATATACATACACAATTGCTTTGCTGAAACGAGGCGTGACCTTTGGAAATCACGTCATCTTGTCTGGTCTCTTGTCATCCCCCCCTCGGGTGGTGTAAGTCTGAATCTGGTCACCCGTGCTCTCATGCACAGCTGTGCTGCCTGTGAAGTGTTCAAAGGCGGGTGGCTCGAAGTTGGGCAGGGTGGAGGAGACTGTCCGCACTTCCTCATTCTCTCCTGTTTGAGGTCACAGGGGTGACGTTCAAGCCCACAGGAGAACATAACCTTTTTTAACCATTGTGGCATTAAGGTTCTCTAAATCCAACTATCCCAGGTGAACATAACTGTGCTTAACAGTAGCAGAAGGATCCATAGCATTAGTGTTCTTTTTACTTAAGTCTTTTGGATTTCAGTGAAAGCGTCCATGATAGTGCTTTATGTACTATTGTGAGGTTTATTTGTAGTCAGCGGTGTGGTTCGTAAAGTCGCTTCTCAGTTTTCAGCCAGATAATCCTGAGCAGAGACCTGTTGAACTGATGTCGGGATGAGTCATCTTGCTCTTGGTGTTGCTGATGCAGTTTCGTTCTGTATCGGCACTTGCTCGTTCAGCCGAAGGAGGCTGATACAGAGACCTTTGCAAAGAGGGGTGAGTTCCTGCCTGTAATAACGAGGGACTTGATGCAGCTTATAACATCTGCATCAAATGAATCTTTTGCCGAATCCATTGTTGCCGTATTAGGTAGTGGTCTTCTCAGGTTTACACCTCTTCACCTGCCCCTTTTCTGGGAGATCTGAGGAAAGCCAACTGCCTGGTAAAAGCACATCCAATGCTGGGAACAACATGAAAAAGCCACGCGGACTGTTGTCTCAGCCACAATGAAACCCAGGACCGGAGATATGAACCACTGCAGCTTCACATCTCACCGCTGTGAAGTGAATTTCGTTGTGTTACATTCATGTTCTCAATCCACAACCATCCAGTTACAAAACGAGCCCTCTCAGAGCCCTGAATGCTGCCTTCTAATTAGTTTGTCTTCGACGTATTCAAAAACATTGTCCTTGTTTACACCTTTAAACTATACTGCGGTGTATATCTTCTCTGAAGCATCCCTGCTTTTATAGTAACTTGATCAGAGGAATCTCAAACTTGCTACGTGAAGCCAGCGTTAAAAATAACCAGCGTCTGCGTACCTCTGCTTTTCAGAGTCGGTCCCAGTGGGATCTCTTGCGTTGCTGGGAGCTGGGGTGGGGGCGGGGGGCTAAAGCCCTCGGCGTGTCATGCAAGTTTGCTGAGCTGTCTGCCGTCTCTGGCCTCTTTATCTTTCAGCCTTCTTCCCCGTGTCTCTCAGCGCCCCTGTTCCCTGTTTCTCCCTTTGTGTCCGAGTTGGTAGAACTGACCCCTGTGGTTAGCTCTTGGCTGGATAGGGGCCTGATCCATCTCGGAGGGGGCTGGTGGTTTTCCTGGTTGCCAGCTTTGCTTAATCCCTGAGCTCCAGCTCTCCACCCTGTTGCTGTCTAAGTCCTCGGTGTGCTGTGGCCATGATGATGCCAGTCCTGTGGCTGGTGAATGTCCGGTGATGTTTGCAGGTTTTAGTTTTATTTTTCCCCTCTTTTTGTTTTTCAGAACGCTGCTTGCGTCCTTGTCGCAGCTAGACACGCCAGTTCGTCGGCGGTAAGTAATTCAGTCCGCACACTTTCTGCTCGCCTGTCCCGTTGACGGAGCCATCCCCCAGGGCAGATCGCGAGATTTCGGGGTGGTTCGGCCACCCTCTCACTCATTTGTGTGTTAGCAGCCGATGGGTCGATCTCGTACTGGTGTTCCTTGAAGGACGCTCTTCCACCGGTCCCGTTTCCTGTCCATACTTACACAAAGAACAAAGTTTTAAAAGTAGGGATACATACGTTTTTATATCAGTTAGTTTAATTATTTAGTTTTATTATTTATTAAAGGGAAAAAAAATAAATGTAGTACATTCATGGAAAAGTTTGCTACTTCCAGTATATTAGGATTTAGATGGAGAGAAGTTGGTCACTATCGATTTATATATTACACAAAAAAACTCCTCTATGCATTTGCCTAGATTAGACGAAAGCTGGGGGTCTCTAGGTAGTTTGCACCATTGAATTTTTAAGTCTTGAAATCGGGAAGTGACTTTCAGCAGTGTGGTCAATAATCCAATACATGATCAGTAAGGCAATTAAAGCACTGGCTCGACCAGGGTCTGACAGCGAGAGAGAGTTTAATATACCTTGGGTACGGCTGAGGGTGCCTCCTCTGGGAGTCTTTGTAATAGTTCTGTGGACTGTGGATCTATGTGGACTATAAGTTTTCCCTGTGAAATCTTTGGTGATCAAAGTTAACCCATTTTTGTGTCCCTTAGAGCCTGAAGGATGTCCTGGCAGACCTTATCCCCAAAGAACAGACCCGGATCAAGAACTTTAAACAGCAGCATGGCAAAACTGTTATCGGACAAATCACAGTGGACATGGTAAGCCGAGCACTCCAGCTCTGTGTGGCACAGAGGCTGAGCAAAACTAGTCTCTGCTTGTGTTGTGGGCAGCCTTCTCTCGCTGAAATTCACTAGCTGTGGCTAGTTGTCATTAGTCCTGCTGTGTTTGTTTACTAACTTAAAAAAAAAACCCATTGCTTTTAGTGACTAATGCTTCTTGGCCAAACCTTTTGAAAGACTATGCGTGACGAGGGTGTGCCCAGACAACAACGTGAGGCAGCTTTCGGTTTCCTCTGTCTCCTTCGCAGCGTTGGAGGCATCATGATGCACTTTAGCATTGAGCTGTCAGCTGATGGGAGCGCTGAGGTTTAGCTGAGTCACAGGGGCCGGGTCCGCTCAGTTCAGACTGACTCACGCACTGCCGCCCACACATCTCTGTCAGCCGCTGACACCCCGGTGTCCCAGTGGATCATTAACGCGGGAGAGGGGCGGACGGGGGGGGGTGGCAATCTGCCACTTTACCTTGTGAAACGATGGTTCTGTCACTTCCACACGGTCCAGAACCGCCTGTTAAGCAGTGTTGTGTGGAGAGACATTGAAAGCCACCGGATTGCCGTGGTGAGAGAGGAAAGGAATTCTTTGCCCACATGCGTTTCCAAATGTTATTCAACTCAGCAATGTGAAACTGTTCTTAATCAACATCGTCGTTTTCAGTTCATTGATTACCTGGAATAACTGACTAAACAATAGACAGGACATGATTCATACCCGTTCCCTGTTTCTGTTTTTCTAGTAAGCAAAATCTAAGAGATCACTTTATTGGCCATATATAATTTCTTGTATTAGGAATTTCTTTTCGCATACCCCAGCTTGCTCTCCGTGAGACACACAGACACACAGACAGGGAGAGAAGCTTGGGGTCAGAGCGCAGGGTCAGCCATTTATACAGCACCCTGGAGCAGGTGGGGTTAAGTCCTTGCTCAAGGGCCCAATGGAGTAGGGTTCCTCTGCCGGCCGCGGGATTTGAACTGGCAACCTTCCAGCCACAGGCGCAGATCCTTAGCCACAGAGCCACCGCAGCACCCCCTTGTATCGGTGTACTCTGATTTTGAAATACAACCTTGTTACGACGATTAGCAGCACTGATACCGCCTTGTGCCGTGCAGGGTCTGATGCATAAGCTTATGCATTGTACTACGGATACACTACAGGAACATTGGAGAATCCCACCTTCTTTCAGTAGGGTGACAGATCTTTAGTTTGTGGTGCACATTTAACAGGTTTAGTTAAAATGCATGTTTTGAGCTACATTTTCACCTTAAATATGTTGCAAAGTAATTCTCAATTTATAGTAGAAATAATTCCTCAGTCCTGAGGTTTATGGTACTGTAGGTGTACAATAGTTAAAGCAGTGCTATTTATAGTCCCATACCATGTTCCTGCCAGCACCAGTGGAATATTAAATTATCCAGCTTTTTTTCAGAGTAGCACTGTGTTGATTGAAAGTGAAAGAAGGGACTTAATTCCTGGTTAAAAGCATATTGAACTTGATTAGTGTCTGACTCCCCTCATTAAAACGGAATCTGAATAGTTAAGGCAGTTTGTGTAATTGGATATTCTTGACCAGCTCTCCCAGAGCCGGGGACATGAAGTATAATTCTCCTATTTAAGAGTTTGATTTAGTTTTGTTGCTGCATCTGTCCTGTTTTACAGATCCACAATTTACAGCACATAAACCTAAAATTCTAAATACGCCCAGAGCCCAGCAGGATTGTGAAAGCCTGCCTGTATGCACTTCTTGCAGCCTGCGAGTATCTCATTTATTTTAAAAAGGTTGTTTCATGCCTTGAACAAGATGGCAGAACGGCCTCTGTCTCCCATCAAGCAAAGCCTTCATTCTGGAATACTGCAAACCCAATTTTGTGGAGAGTACATTTCACTTTCTTGGACTTTGACCTCTGGTCCGTGCAGTTTGATGCTTTGTTTCTGGATCGACTTTAGCTTTTTTTAAATTAAAGTGTATTAATCCAGTAGGCAACTAAAAACCATCATCCCAGTAATAACTACATAGTAATTCATTAATCTTGATTGCAGTAATAACTTAGGTTGTTATGTTGGCAGGAGGAGGTTGAGATACAGGGAAGGTTATCCGTGTTCATCTGGGAGCCAGGCTGTGTAGTAGACCGGCTCAGGGGTTTGAAGTGGCTCGTGGGCTTGACTGTTCCATTCTCTGTTCTCCCTCAGGTGTATGGAGGAATGAGGGGCATGAAGGGGCTGGTGTATGAGACTTCGGTACTGGACCCAGAGGAGGTGAGTGGCCCCATGAGGCATGCATGTTGCGCTCAGGATCAGTCCTCCACAAGCCGCATGGAACCTGGACACAGGCGGGCTGCACGACGTGCCCTGGCGAAAGCAGGGCGTAGCGCCCTCCCACACCTCCGTGTGCCGGAAGGTAGCACAAGACCTGGTGTGTTACCCTTGTGCAGGTCCTCGATGGTTGCTCTTGGACTTTGTCAGTCGGAGGATCTGATCTTCATTTCAGCTGATGGGGATGTAACTCAGTTAATTGGCTTTCTTTGTTAGCACTGTTTCTACATTTGTATGTTCCCAATAAAGCCAGCTGGGCTGTGGCTCTAGGGCCAGGAGGGTCAAATGCTACTCATTTGGGCCATAAAGCAGGAACCCACAAAGACCTGGCTAAACAGAACAGCCACATTAGGCATCAATTGCACCAGAGTATATTCCTGTGCTTTTATTTGTGGTTAAAGAAAACAAGAGTCAAGGTATTGAACTGATGCATCGTTAAACCATTTGATCACTGTTGATAGTCAAGGCTGGATGTGCCTCGTCCGCCTTGCTCGGCTTTCTCATGCTGCTTTCTGTTTTTACTCAGTGACTCATTGAGATTAAATCCGTTGATTTGCTTTCTAAGACTGTAAATATATTAGTCTGGTATTGGCAGTGTTGTCTTGGCACCGCTTTGGTTTTTCCCCTCTCTTCTCTGTGTTAATTGATCTGTACATCTCCCTTACCAAGACTGAAACTCATCTCTGTAAATAGTGCCAGAGGTATGATGCTAATCAGGGTACAAGGCACTTATGCTGCAGATCTATGTATATTCTGTTATTACACAAAAGGAAATGTTGCTCCTAATCTGCAGGCTAAGTGGATGATGATCACAAGACCTTGTGTCATTGACACGGAGATCCCATAATAGCCTGGAGTATTGCTTACTGGAGCATATTTAACTTTCTAAAGTTTTTTTTTGATAAGCACCATAGATTTTGTCTCTGTTTGTTGAAAAAAGTGAGGCCCTCACCTAGCACCAGTCTCCTCTTCAGGCTGTTTAAAGGTTGTTAATCTCCTATTTTCAGTGAGCTCCTATCAGTATTGCCTTTCCTGACATGACCTTATAAACTCAAGGTACTTGTCAAAGTAGGTTTCCCAGAATCATTAACTTAATATCGAGTTAGCCTTGAACAGCCTGTTTCCGATGAGCAACTTGCTAATATTCGTTTGTGGCTTACACTACTCACCCTGGGGAAAATCACCAGGTATTAGGTATCCTGTACTGCTGTACTCTTAATTTAAATGTTTTGGGGATCAAAATCAGCTTTGTTTTGGGTGGAAATGCAGACCCTACTATGCAGTAGGCTTTTCTAGTGGAGGAGTATAAATGCTTCAGATAGAAATAGTGTAAACGGTCAACTTAACACATTTCAACTCTTTCTTTGTTCACTCTCTTGTCGCTAGGGAATCCGTTTCCGTGGCTACAGCATCCCAGAGTGCCAGGAGCTGCTTCCCAAAGCTCCAGGGGGAGATGAGCCTCTGCCCGAGGGACTGTTCTGGCTGCTGGTTACCGGACAGGTGCCCACGCAGGAGCAGGTGAGAGAGCAGTTTTGCTCTGCGGCTGCACGACACAGAGCAGGGGTCTGCTGTCCTGAACCTGGACAGATTTTCTCATTGCTTTGGGTGGGGAGGTCTATAACAAAATCGTCCACCCCTTATCAAAAGGGGTCACAACAGCAGAGCCCGTATCAGGAGGACAGGGCGCAAGGCGGGCTGTAATAAAACCAGATGTTTTGGACCCAAGGATCCACAGTTTTTTTTGTTGGATCACTCTGTAGAAAGTGCAGACTGCGGGTGTGTTGGGGTTCTTTTATTCCCAAAGCAGCTCAAGGCAAATAATCCTGCTGTACACAATTCAGTCCCCTCACACATCCGGTTCTTGTGATCAACAGGATTTGAGGCCTTTTGAGCATTTCAGCATCTTATTGCTATTGACATAGTCAAGCCAGTTACTGTGAGGGATTTGTAGTAATACTGCTTCACTGGACACGCGTTGCTTTTGCAGGTGAGCTGGGTGTCAAAAGAGTGGGCGAAGAGAGCTGCCCTGCCTTCCCATGTGGTCACCATGCTGGACAACTTCCCCACCAACCTGCACCCCATGTCTCAGTTCAGTGCTGCCATCACCGCACTCAACAGCGAAAGCAGCTTCGCCAGGGCCTACTCTGAAGGAGTCAACAAGGCCAAGTACTGGGAGGTGAGGCGGGGCTGGGCGCTTTCACCTCATCGGGGAGGGTTTCACATGACCTTGTGCCGAAGTCCTCTCAAGCTGTGGCTCGAAGCGTTAGCCAACTGGGTGTTCTTTTCCCTGGCGATACTCGCATTACCAGGTGTCCTCAAGGATCGGAGATCTCAGGATCATGGCTGTACAGGTGTCTTGTTATGAAAGAAATGTCCGACTTCAAGCAATCATCTGTGCTTCTTTTAGCGGCCATGTTTTATCAGAGTTTGCAGCTTTTAATATAGAGGCACAAGGGCCATGCCTTTCGTCAGAATATGAAATGGTGCTGCGAGCACAACACTCCCATGTCTGCTAGCCATGGCTATGAATTGTACATATGACCTGGCCTCGATGTCTCTTTAAAGTGTTGGTGTTTCCTGCCAACAGAGTTGGCAAAAATGACTCTTCCCATGTTTTCGGGAATCTTTGGAAACATTAGCAACTGTCCAGCAAGATTTATTGGTTAAATGAAACACCTTCTTTAACACGTTAATGTTAACCTGGAAAAGGTTAACCAGAGTCTGGTTGGATTAGCCATAAGTTAAAGCTAGGGTGCTATGAGAACAGACCCTGTAAATTAACTGAGATGGCGGTAAAGGTTAGGTCAGTGAGGGGTTAGGTTAGCTCCCCATCATGGGCAGCCGTACAGTTCTCCAGGTTTCCCATCCTGCACTTGGCCTGCTGTAGACTTGCCTTACAGGGCATGAGAGGTCATGTTTTGGGTCTGCTTATCACTCATGTCATAAAGATAAGGCATGAGGGGAAGGTCACCTGCTGTGATGACAAGGTGCTGTTTCAGCAGAAGGGAAGTGATTTCAGACCATAGTACTTTATCAGTAGGCAGCTCAGACTTGTTGATGCCAAAGTGAAACTGTGAGCAGTTCTTTCCTATCAGGTTTGAAGCTGTGGTCTTTGTTGCTGTTGATGAGCTGGCTGTTTTACATTTTAGGTTCTGTTTTCTTGCCTGTATGACATGTAAAGCCTTTAACTCAATATAGAAGACACGAAAATCTCATTAAGCTGCAAATGGGTCCCTGTTGGTTTTTCTTTGTGGTTATTACAGCTCTAAAATGTATTTAAAATCTTGCCAAATAATTCAGGAGATTCCAGTTCATAAAAAAAGTGTTGTTATTTAACATAGCTGTGTGATCACTGTATTACAGTGTATAGAGTGTTGGTTTCAGGCTGGGAGAAGTGTTTGTGGCATGAAGTTGGCCACAATACATCATTATTTTTGCTGAACCCCATGCCTTTGAAGTCAAGGGGAAGTCAGGTTTTAACAGGAACTGCTTAACACATCGCCTACTATTATGCTGTCATTTTCTCTCATTGCGGTGGTCATATTAGGGATGTCTGCTGTGTAATTTAGCTGACGCATTTGTAACGGGATATAGGTGTCTCTGTTCATACTGGAGTGGGCAGTTGAATATTCATTTGTAAGTGAGAAGGCATGAGTGGTGCATGGCTGGGCTTTAACTTGAGGATAAACTACAAACAGAATTGTCACCATCGCCCCCTATCCCATACCTCATTGTGGCTTTTATTCTTTTGATTGTGCCTCTCTTCACACCAGGTTAAAGCTTAAATTAAAAGAATCTTCCCGTGTTCAATTTGTCACAGGTCTCTAGGTCATTGCTGTGGTCAGTGGTGTCTGTGATGGTCCATGCTGACTCCTCTCTCACTCTTTCTCTGCCTCTGGCAGTTCATCTACGAGGACTCCATGGATCTGATCGCCAAGCTGCCCTGCGTGGCAGCCAAGATCTACCGCAACCTGTACCGGGAGGGCAGCAGCATCGGTGCCATCGACTCCAGCCTGGACTGGTCCCACAACTTCACCAACATGCTGGGCTACAGCGACCAGCAGTTCACCGAGCTCATGAGACTGTACCTCACCATCCACAGGTCAGCCGCCTCGGCGTCGCTGGGCGCCCCGCAAGGGGAGTGCGGTCAGAGCAGACATTACCAGGGGATGGTCACCTTTCGGGGCACATGGTCAGAAACCACCCAGCACTTCGGCATTTATAACATTGGTATGCCAGGCGAAGAGAGAGGTGTTGGGATCAGGGTGGGGGGGGGGTGATTTCTCGATTCGTTCATCAGAAATACTTTTTTTAAAACTTATTTAACGATGAAAGGGTTTACAAACAACATAACCAAAACAGCAGAATAAACATTTGCCTTCATCTTACATTTCTACATTTCATATATATAAAATTAACTATTTACACTATGCCAGCAGGTATGGGGGGGCCATACAATTGTCTGATAAGAAACACAACAAACAAAAAGGTCTACACATAGATATCACTGTATACTTTCTCATAAACTAGAATCAGGTCCTTGTAGGGAGATAAATTGAATCCATGTTTCCAAGTAAGAAATACTTGGTTGTTCAAAGGTAAAGCTTACAAAAAAAATGCCAAAAGGACCCACTGGGCAGCTGTCAATCATCTCGAGCTGCAGATACAGTGGAAGCTGCAGCTGTAGTTACAGGCAGTGCATTTGGTTGATTCACATGACTTTGCACACTGAAATATAATCTATACAGAGCCTTAAAAACGCAGTAGTTACTTAAACTATGGCCAGATCTTTCCAACTATAAATATCTAACTTTTTTTTTCCTGGGGTAGTTATACCTAGGACTCCTAACCGCAGAAATGTGTAGTCCTAACCATAACATTTGCAGAAATTCATGTTTATTTACTGCTTTTAAATATTGGTGGATGAGGAAGGTAAATGAATGATGAATTAATTAACCTCTATTGTCTCTTACAGATAGAGCTCATAAACATGATGACAATTTTTATATACGACAATAATAATCAAAAACTTTTTTATATAGCGCCTTTAAAGGTGGCTTCTCAAAGCGCTTTACAGGATGACAATAACAATAAATAAGAAAACTACAACTATGGTATGCTTTTGGGTGAGATGTGGTATCAAAGATTTTATGTGCGGTGTTAATGTCACTCTGGTAGACGTGTTATTGAGTCCAAGGACTCACCAGTAGTTTTGCCACCAGACCTGATCACTGTGTTCAACTTGTTTTTGTTCTGCAACACAAGACACTTCCCCAGTTTTTAATACTCGGAATAAGACTCTTCTAAAAAAAAATGTCAAGATGGTGCTTTCTACATTAAAGCTCCTTTACCATTCTTAAAATACGTTTTTTGAATTGTTGCTTCAAATACCTTGTCTCCGTACTGGAGGCACTGGTGGTGGTGGACATGTAAAGCACTTTTGAGTGGAGTGTCCATGAAAATGCTCTATAAGTGTAAGAAATTATTAATTTCCAATCAATAATAGTGCAAAGGCACTTGTATTCATTTACTGATTTTAAATGAATGTGACATGGGCTATGCATTTAGCAGCGAAAGTTATGGACTTAAATTCTGTGTAATTTAAGTATATTTCTGCTTTTGTCTGTATAGCAAAACTCAAAATCCAGTAATGTGATTATTTGGGAGTTTATTTTGCCATGAAGTTCTCTAAATCAGCGCTCAAGCTCTGTGTATATTGGTATGGACTGCCCCCTAGTGGACGTTGTAGAGCACAGTAAGTGAACATGCTCTATTAAAAGCACGTTTACGATTTAATATAGCAGCACAGGTGCAGGGCTTAATCAAAATAAAGAAAAGTCCATACGTGATAACTTGTGCAGGCCACACTTTTCAAATTTGTGTATGATGGTTTTTATGGTGGTACAGTGTCAATAGTATTGCCTTGCTTTCAGGAGCACTACAGCTTGTGAAATCTGAAATGGTTCCCAGTGTGGGGCAGTGGGAGTGTTATGTCCATCCTTGTCCCTCTCTTGTGCATTGGCAAAGTCAGCCCACTGGACTTATTCACAATCCCAGGAAGCACCAACCAGCGGACACAGGGAAACTGAGCAAGGGCATTTAAACAGAAATGAGAAGCACATCTTTACACCAAGGATTGTAGGAGTCTGATATCTGGGAACCCTGGGCATCCTCTTCTACTAGCTGGCATCTTGTTAAGAAAGAGTCGGAGTAGCTCTCTGGATGAGTTGTCTGCTAACTGTCCAAAGGGGGCTATGTGGTTGGGTAGCCACTTATGGTTATCGGCGTTCTTTGTCACCTGTCGTAACCTTGTCGTCCGGCCCTCCCTCCCTTTCTGTCTGCGCAGTGATCACGAGGGTGGGAACGTCAGTGCCCATACCAGCCACCTGGTGGGCAGCGCGCTCTCTGACCCCTACCTCTCCTTCAGCGCCGCCATGAACGGGCTGGCCGGGCCTCTCCACGGACTCGCCAACCAGGTCAGTTGCTCCCGGGGAGCGGAGGTAGACTTCCTTTTTATTTTTTTATTATACCGTCTTAAAACGTGGTGGTGGAGGGGAGTCCCCATTGCCTGTAAAGCGCTTTGAGTGGAGTGTCCAGAAAAGCGCTATATAAATGTAAGCTATTATTATTATTATTATTATTTTTATTATTATTATTAAAACCGTGAGGGTTTCAGAACCTGTTGGAGTAGGGTCTGCACCTGTGCCCCGTCAGGTTCCGGTTTTGACCGTTAAGGAAAATGAGTGGATAGGAGTGCTTTACAGATCTAGAAATACAAATGTGTCGGACAGAGGAGTTCGGTGTGGCAGATTGAAAGTCATAGAAATCATTGGAATGGGATTGGAATCATTTTCTGGCAGGCTGGGGCTGATGGGTTTTAGCCCTGTCATGTCGCAATCACAGCTGATTGTATTACAACCAGGTGAAAAAGCGCATGAGCTCAAAGCAGTGAACCTCAGCGCAAATGGAGAAATTCTTTTTCCCTTAGAAAAAGAAATGAAGTGAATGGAAAACCAACATGCTTGGTTTGTGCAGGTATATATTCCATGTGGCATCCCTTTAAACTTGCCTTTTGCTAGTTAAACTGGGAAGAGGGAAAAATTCTAAAAGGAAGCCCAGCCCTGGCAACACAGTTGGCTGACATGATGTTAAAAATGAGGAGGACGTCCCACGATAAAAACGGCTAATCGATCACGAGGGGAAGCGGTGACAAAAGGAATAACTTTCATTTATGTGAGAATGTCTTTGAGAAAGTTAATGTTTGATTTGTTGTTGCAAGATTCATATATCGAATGCTCAAGGTGAAACTGTATAATTGGTCGTTTCTATTCTTCAAGTTATTGAACAAGATATCCTGACGAGTCTTCTTCACAGCAGGACAGAATTTTTTATAGTGTACCATACGCACAGCTGCAATATTTTAATGAATTATAGTTAACGCTAAAAAACATCCCACACTTACAGAGGGTGGTAAGTTTTTTCAAAATTGTTGTCTAGTGAAGGTGCAGTGACTACGAAAAGCATTTGATAGGGAGGTATTTAGTTAAAAATTAACAAAAATGCAGAACGTTACAAATAATACTAAGGTTTATTTGTATCTATTTCCAGACAAGTGGCACAATTAGGAGTGATATAGATTTGTCCTGCTTTAGGCAATTTAGATTTACTGAGGCCCTCGGCTTCATGACCACCTGCATTTCCCTCTGTGCCCTGCAGGAGGTGCTGGTGTGGCTGACCCAGCTGCAGAAGGAGCTGGGAGGAGAGGTGTCGGACGAGAAGCTCAGAGACTACATCTGGAACACGCTCAAGTCTGGCCGGGTAAGAGAGTGGCGGGGCCGTGGATGGAGAGGGCCAGCGGTTCAGCTGCCCGCTGGGCACGTGGTCCCAGCCGTGGCTTTTTTAAATGAGATAATGGGGGAGCCATGCATGCTTGAGCAGTGAACCTTGGAATCCAGCAGGATGTGGTTTGCTGTTCTTGAAAAACTTAATGAGTAGTCCACTGGGTTCCATAGCACTATTCTGTAGTGCACTATTTACCCCCGACTGGGACACTGGTCAGCTGTAGAGATACCCCCGTTTATATGGATGAGTGGACTGGGGCAATTGGGGAAAATTGTCTCCTTCTGGAGAGGAGACTCAAACCCACAGCGCAACAAAGTGCGGAGCATAACCCTTCTCCTCACTGGCCCCTGTGAGTGGAAGACTGGGAAATACATTAACTACTACTAATTAACCAACTGGATCCACAAGACTCTGCAGGGCCCAGCTTTAGATGCTACAGATGCTTCATTGTTGGTGTCCTAAGCTTTCTTAGTGCTCAGCTAAATTTGATTGTTAATGAGCGTACCCAACCAACCAGAAACGACCGAGGTTTTTCCCACTGCTATAATGGGGGGGTTAGAGGTTTGGCGTTAAGGTGTATGTGTAAGACCCCCATCACTGTATCCAAAAAGGTTTTTTTTTTACAGGATTTTTTTCTTTCTTCAGGGTAGAGCACAATCTCACACAGGCAGCTCTGCTGATCATACAGGTGCTGCTCATCTGTGCTTGCGCTGAGTTGCTCGAGAGCTCACAAGGGGAAGGAAGCAGGTCCTGCAGACTGAAATAACAAGCCTGTGTTCCGATTCCCCCCTCCCTCACTCTGACGCCCAGGTTGTCCCGGGATACGGCCACGCTGTCCTGAGGAAGACGGACCCCCGCTACACCTGCCAGCGCGAGTTCGCCCTGAAGCACCTCCCCAGTGACCCCATGTTCAAACTGGTGGCCCAGCTCTACAAGATCGTGCCCAACGTCCTACTGGAGCAGGGCAAGGCCAAGAACCCCTGGCCCAACGTGGACGCCCACAGCGGGGTACTGCTGCAGGTCAGTGTGGGGGACGGGGGTTCTGGGGCTCAGGGTGCTGCCTTCACAGGCCGTAAAAATGTTGTGCTCTCAATGGGGACACTAATGAAGGGTCTGAAATACAGGTGACAGGTTCCTTTACTGGTTTAAAGGTACTTCAGAAAGTAAAGTGAACATCTCAAGGCTGTGATTGAACATTGTTGGAGAAACTGGTGTGTTAAAAGTATTTTTTTTAATGTCTTTCTCTTGCAGTACTATGGGATGACAGAGATGAATTACTACACTGTGCTTTTTGGGGTGTCCCGTGCCCTTGGGGTCCTCTCCCAGCTGATCTGGAGCAGGGCACTGGGTTTCCCCCTGGAGCGCCCCAAGAGCATGAGCACTGACGGTCTGATGTCACTGGTGGGCTCCAAATCTGGGTAACCAGGATGACCCAAGGAGAGACACCCCGGGGATTAAAGAGACAGTACGCTTTTAAAACAAGTAAAAGAAGGGCCTTCCGTAGACCGCTTAGGTATTCCAAAACGATCAGTATCCCAGTCTTATTTTTTTTTTGTCTTGAGCCGTAAATTCGTCCGTTTCAAAGGGAGGGGGATTCTGTCTGCTTGTATGCAGAGTCCCCCCCCCGCCCCCCATACAAATACACCAACCCCTTGTATAATA